TATGATGCATGGGAGGATAGAGATAGGTTGACAAGAGATGAGAATGAAAGAAAATAAAGAAAACAAAAGAAGAGAAAGAAAATAAAGAAAACAAAAGAAGAGATAGAGATGGCGACAAAACATACAATGCGATGTGGAATGGGTAGTAATACAATGCAGGTAAGAACTATAACATGGAGAGAAACTTGTTTGACTAGATGATCAATTAGTGAAACAGTACCCAATTTTAATGAAAATTTAGATGATTCTTTTTAAGATTGAGATCTTCACATCTACTGGATTTGGTTAGAACCTAAGTGATTTATCTCATAATATGCATCCATCTATAAACATCTTTGCAAAGAGTATTTTAGTTATTAGTATCCTTAGATTGTACTCAAATTGTTGAAATTAGTATTGTCTTGAAAATTCTCTTGAATCACTGTTTGATTGAATTTTGTCAAAGATGAGTTCTTTAAGCTGATTACTTTACAAGTATCTTGGAAAATTGATTTGGCACTCATCAACACATGCATCAGGTGCACTTGGTTGCATTCTTATGGTTGAGATGTGAATTTGGCTTTATAGGGTGTATCATAGTGCAATGTACCGAGTGACACTAATCATATTATTGAGCTGAACAGAGTATGAAACTATGCGTGATTTGAAAGATTGGGTGGATAGAGCTTCATGGGATTAATGAAACATTGTTTAAATTCTCATCTCTACGAATGATTCTTGATTGTTTGGTTACCATTGATAGTTCCTATTCCACGTATCATGTTTTAGTATGCTTACTAGACTATGAAGCTCACCCCAACTTACCCTATCAAACCCAGGTTGAACTCGGAGTAAAACTGATAGAGAACCAACTCAAACAAAGAATTGGAGATTGTTGATTATGAATTATTGATGTAGTTTCACATTTTTGGGTGATTTGATCAAATGTAATAACTTCCAAAAGAAGAATCTGTTCATTCTATATTGAGAATTTTAATGCCATCTATTTGAGAAAATTGGTGGTAATTTATTTTGCAACCTGAACCAAGGTGATTGAGGCATGATCGGTCGGCCTCCGAGTTAGAAAGATTATTCCTTAAACACTATTTTTTTTATCAGAGCGTGCATTGGAAGTGTTTTAGACTTAAGAATTGATAATTTTCGGGTCTAAAAGTTTTTTAAAGGAGGGGGATTGATATATCAAAAAAATAAATAGAAAGTCCAAAAAATAAATAATGTTGGCTTTTATTCATGTGATTTTGAGGCTTCTAAGGAATTAGTTGAATAGTAATGCGACAACAAAATAATGGAGAGATTTTATGCATTTTAGACTTCAATTATATACATGTGAGCAAATTTATATTTGACTTGTATTGACTAGAATGGGACTTGTTATTGGTAATTGTGCCAGCTTGGGTCAAACTAAAAAGGGTCAAACCTTGACTTTTGGTAGTAAAGAGTGAGAATTGAAAGCCACCGGAACCGTGCGTCAATCAGGTGTGGCATGGCTATGGTAAATTAAATGTGAATGCAGCCCTCCAAAGTGTTACAACATATAAACTGACGCCTAGCATATAATCAAGACGAACCAAGTATGAAGATATGAAAGACTGTTGACACACATGATTTGCGAAATAATGATTTATACGTCTACCATGGACTGTAGAATGTTTGATTGTCTTCGATGTTGTCTAATAGCGGAAATGAGAATATTCAGATGGATGTGGTATAACTAGGAATGATAGAATTAGAAACGAATATATTCATGAAAAAGTAGAGGTAGCACATATCTATATCTATAACATAAAAAAGGTCGGCTTCAACAAACCCATTCTACAGTCTCAAATTCATTCATCCAACGGTCAAGAAATTACCTTTTTTTTCCTTAATATTTTCCCCCCTAACCGGTCAACAATAACGGCTAATTTTGTACACATCCTTCCCCCTTAACTGGTCAACAATTACTGCTGATTTTGTACACATTCTATGATCTCAAATTCATTCATCCAACAGTCAATAAATTATAATTTTTTTCTTAATATTTTTCTCCCAATTGGTCAACGATTGTGCCTGATCTTTGAACACAAGATTTTCTTTAACATAATAATTAAATGAGTCAAATTCGCCATTAATATCTGTAACATTTTGAATTTTTATGAGACACAATAATAACATTTTGATTAAAAAAAGCTCATTAGTTTAACAAATAAAAAAAAAGCCACTACTTAACACATTTATATTGAATATAATTAATTTTAATTGTATTTATTTAATTAATTATCTAATACTAACATGTCTTACACATATTTTGAATCAAAAATTCAAGACTAATTTTTTTTTATCTCTTAGGAAAATTCAACGCTAATATATTCTTATAAATGAATAATTTTATAATAACTTGTACTAATTAAAAAAATAATATTTTATAAATGATATTTGTAAAACTTTTTTTGATAGAACATATTTTGGCGATATGCTTTTTGATAAATTAGATTTTTAATTTATATTAGATTTGACTCAATTTTGATTACATGTATATAAATTAATGTTCGATTTTGATTACATATATATAAATTAATATTTTTTTAAGTCAATTTTATCATATTTCGTAAATTTATCTATAATATAAAATAAGAAAGATTTCAATAAGTTCATCTAACGGTCTCAAATAAGCTCATCTAACAGCTACCAACATTTCTCTGAAAACCATTCAGATTAAATTTTACCTTGCTCTTCTCTCACTCTCTCTCTATCTCTCTCTCTCTCTCTCTCTCTCTGTGGTAGTGGCGGATAGAAGAGGGGTCTAGGACCACCTTGAAATTTTATTTTTTTTAGTTATATATGTTTTATATATTTTTTTTCAATATTCTTAATTGGGCCCGCTCTAATGATTTATGAAAAAGAAAATTAATTGGGTCAAACAAGTTGGGTACGTGAACAAAAAAAAAAGTCCATACCAAATCTCTTAAAATTAGCAAACTAAAATCGATTCCTTAAAGTATTGGTATGATTTGTTAAGAGCTTCATTTGGTTCAAAAATTATGGAATATATAGTCAAAAATGAGTAAAATATAGAATTTGTAAGAAGATTAAATATTATAGAATATTACTTTTATTTGTATCAAATATATAATATTAAATATGACAGACTTCAATAAGTCCATTCGACGGTCTCAAATAGACTCATCTAACGGCCTCCAACATCCATCTCAAAATCATTCATATTGAATTTCTACTCTCCCAAATCCATCACTTCTCACTTACGTTGTATTGTGCCTTAAGGCACGGGTTACCCTTGATAAGAGATAAATTAAGGAAAAATTGACTTAGGTAGCTTAAACATATTTATAGACGACTTACTGCGACATCAAGCAAAAATGATATAACTATTAACGGTAAGTGTGCAAGTAGAGGAAGACCAAAATTGGCTTTCAATGAAATAGTAAAAAAAAATATGATAACTTATGATTTAACAGAAAACATGACTTTTAATAGAGGACAAAGGCGAAACAGGATTCAAGTAACCGACTCCAAATATGTTGGGAACAAGGCTTTCTTGAGTTGAGTTGGACTATCAAGCTTAAAGCCCCTTTTACCCTCTCAAATGTAGGTTGAACTAGGAATAAAAGCCAATAAGAGGATTGGATTAATTTGACTTTAGCTTAACACTTGCTCAAAAGTAAGTGTTCTTCATTAGCCTTAGAGTCTGCATGGGATACCCCAGAACCAAGTGATCTTAAGTTTAGGCTGCAGATCTTATGAATAAAGTTTTTTGGTGATGCAGAAAATAAGCTTTTTCCTGATCAGCTAAAGTGTTTAATTTTCTATGAACCAACAGTATCACCAATTTTAGAGATTCACTAGTCCATCATTTCGATCTAAAACAGAAAGGAAAAGGGATGATTGGAAAGATTGCAAACATATGTTCATCAATCCTTACAAGGAGATGTTTGGCACTTCCCAACATGAGAACATTCTTACCAACTGAAACACTAATGAAATTAGTTAATTTTCCCCTTCTTGTATACATGTTCCGTTTTCTGGTTCCTTGCCCATTTTTCACAAATTCAATTGTTATCAATGAAGCATGGATATAGACATGGGTGTCATATCCGATACGATACGGACATGGGTATGGCGAGGATATGGTTAATTAAAATAATATTATATACATATAATAACAAAATTAATAATAACTAATGAAAAATACAATCTCTTTAAAATAAACAATACCAAAAAAATACAAAACATTATTTACAATCTACCAACATACAATAATAAAATAAAATAATATAATTAATAGTAATAATAATAAACCCTCTTAACTCCTCAAAACCAAAAAATAAAAACTCTCCTTTTAACTCCCACCCCCAAAAAATCATTTCAATTCTCAAACCCAATTAAAGACCCCAAACACCACACCCAAAAAAAAACCCTTTTAACTTCCTACTGAAACCTTCTGTTCACAGAAAGAGAGAGCGAAATCGAGATTGATTCGAAACTCGCAGCACCAGTAGATCCAAGACTCGCTGGTTGGTCTTCCTCTTCTCTCTCCGTCTTCTCCTCTTCTCCTTGTTGCCGAAAGCCCAAAGCAGATCTGGTCCTCTCTGCGTTCTCCTCTTCGCTCTCTCTCTCTCACAAACACAATGGAAAGTGGGAGTCGTAGGGTGAAGCCTGCACAATTTGACCTTGCTTTTTTTTTTTTCTTTTTTAAGCCTCATAACGACGTCGCCTATCTCCCTGATCCCATATCCCCACGTATCCGAGCCATATCCGGTTGAAAAAAAAAAATCAAATCTACTGTGCAGGACCGTTTCAGAGGTGTTGTACACATGTTTGGCCTGGTCCTACGCGTATCCGTGTTGGACACGTCCAACACTACCACAGCGACCCTCCAACGAGTATCCATACTTCCTAGATTGCTTAGATTTGTAAAATCTGGGAACCACTAAAGACTCCCAATCCTATTATTGGTTCATGACTAGAAGCTTGAAAATAAACACCAGTTCTCATGAGTACAATCAAGCTCCTATAACTTTCCTTTTTAAGTTAAATACAAAGTTAAGAATCTTAACTTAAGATAACTCTAAAATTTAATTGAAATCGAATATTTAAACCGGATCCAATTTCATACCCTTCAGATGCTAAAAGGAAGTGCCGCCTTCCCATCCATTCCCTTTTAGACTCGTAGAATCCATTACTGGTCGAAGCAGACCCATCCTTTTGCTTCTCATCAAGCAATGCAGATGCAGACTACATTCAAATAATTATATTACACAACTTGCAGAAATTATCAAAGCAAAACAAATATTTAATTAATCGAGTGAAAAGGAAAATACCTCCCATGTGATTCCACGATCCAGTGTGAAGGTAAACAGTACAGTGGATGCCCCAGACATGTGGTCAACATGAACCGTCTGCAAAAAGAGTAAAGTCAATATAAATTTGTAAGGTGAAGCCAGTAAGAACAACAGAAGGACCATAACCTTCGGAATTCCCAGTAATTCAATTGTGTTAGCTCTCATATCAACAATCCCCGTGTCAAAATGCCCTTCAGTGCGTGCATTCTGAATGAGAAGCTCAAGGATGCTGACAAATAACTCGAAGAGCCTGTATATAAATGGTGATATCCCCCATTATAAGTACGATTTAAAGGAACAATCATATCAACATTCGAAGAACAAACCACAGACCCATTTTGGATCTCAGGCGGCAGCCCTAAGAGCCGATTGAGGAAACGTCCAACATCATGCATATCTGAATCAACTATGCGACCAGAAAGTTTTCCAGTGTCCTTGACACTACCTAGAGACAAAAATATAGAACAAGGTAATCATCAAACATTATCGAACAATGATGGAAAGATTCTACACTTGGAATGAGATACAGTAATTTAAACATATTCAAATTTCAAACTATGAACTGCAAAAGAACAAGCTGATAAATGGAAGATTTCTGTTAATTTTTAAAGCAAACAAGATCAAGAGAAATTCATAAAGAACTAACAACCAGTGATACCATTCAAGGGTAACAGGACTACAATGACAAACAGATTACCCAGAGTTGTGTCTCTGACTATTCCAACGGAAACAAGAGCAGCTTTTCCCTTCACAATAAAATCTTGGATTGTATCTGGTTTTTCAATTGAACACCGAGGTGGCACAACTGGTAGAGAATCCTGGAAAACCAAGAATTTGAAATATTATCCAACACCCCCTCCACCCAGAGGAGGAGGGAATAAACCCCTAAAAAGGGCAAAATACATAAGTAGCATATGAGGGGAATATGAAAATATCATGCCACAATAATGTAAGAACCTGCTCCATGATTCCTTTGTACATCATCATCAAGGCCCTCTTTCCATAAGCACTATCATAATTATAAGCACTTAGAGTTGGTCCAGCTCTGCAACGCACTCAACAGCATTAATACAGATACTACACTACTCTAGTTATAATTCCATACCACTCATTTACATCCCCAAACCAAAAATAAATACAACTCACCGACGGTCTCCCTGTGTTAATGCTCCCAGAGACTCCAATCTCTTGGCGACTATGGATGCAAACCGGCGTTCACCACCAAGATTTGTAAACAGTAGCCTGAAAGGAATACACAACACTACATCAACCTGGCAAAACAAAAGCAACACACCAAAAGAATTGGTCCATGACATCTAGTCAAAGGTATGTGTATCTTCTTATGCAATGCTTGTAATTAGTTACACAATTCATATTACTTATAAGAATTAAAAAAAGCTCTCGTGCCATCAAAGAATTTCTACAGCACGATAGGAAACTTCAGCGATCCTCTAGTTTCCCCCGCATTCCCTACTAATGCAGAAGAAAAATGCATAAGAATGGCATATAGGATACTGTGTTCAAAAGAGTGTACTAATTTATGCAATAAAGGCAGCCTTGTCCAACCATTTCAGGTCATGTGTATCATCTTATGCCACCCTTGTATTTAGATACACAATTCACATTACTTGAAGGAAACAGGCAAAGTTCTTGCACCATCGAAGAATTTCTACCACATGGTCGATAACTATAGTGATCCTCAAGTTTTCCACAGCCTTCCAATGAATGCAGAAGAAAACAACATAACAATAGTATATAAGATACAGTGCTCTATACAGTTGTATTCATTTAAATAACATTGACAGCCTTGTCCAACTATTTGACGTCAGTTAGCCTATTCACTTACACCATTGAGTCTGTCACCAAGTTTTCTTTTTAAGTAAAAGGCCACAAAGTCTTTCTAATTGGATCCACTGGTCTATGCACATCCTACAATGATATATCTGGCACCAATGGTCATCTCATCAACTGCTTCTAACTAGTCATGAAAATCTTTATTCCAGATTCAGTCTTTTAATCTTTTGCAAAATTCATCCCAAACAATATTATCTAAAAAAAATTCTTCTTACATTTCTTCAACCTGATCAATGAACACTGCAATTTGATAAGTAGAGCTAGCAAGCATGCTAGAGCACCTTCACCTCTTTTATCCCCACCTCATGCTTTCTCTACTAAAAACTTCATAAAGATCAAGGATCCAAATTTCGTTTCGAAACGGTCGAAATGTCCGAAGCGTTTCCGTTTTCTTGGAAATCGAAACAAATCAATGATGAAATCGAATTTCTAATACTTCAAGATGTTTCATAATATTTCGAGTTATTTTGTAATATTTCAATGCATTTGTACAATTGTTTCGAAATGTTTCAAGATACTTTGGAATATTTCGACCAATATTTTTGGAAAAATAATTCTTAAATTTTTATTTTTTCATGCTGTTTCCAAAAAGGATCGAAATGTTTCCATTTCCTAGGTGACTGAAACAATACACCGAAACAAAAATTTGATTCTTGATAAAGATCTACTCCTAATTTCAAAGGTTTAGGTAAATATTTGAAAAATTAGTCAAACTTTATATGTAGACGCATGTGTATACACGAACATGCAGTAGTAGTTTCTTGACTTGGATCAGCTTGACTAAAACCATGACCAAGTCAACATAGTTCCCAAATACTGATCCAACAAGTGATCCTAACATTTTTATGTACCGGCCACAAAACAGATTAGCACACTATTTTAGTAACGTGTTTTTTAATAGAATTTGGAAAAAAATATAGTTAACCAGGTGAATATTAAATTCAGCATCAGTATATAATAACAGGTATTTGTCCCCCGCAACCTAGGATACATAATTTACCAGGTTGGGGGTGAATACCCCTTGTTGACATGTCTGAGGCACCAAAGTGGAATTTTCAACTTGTCAAAGAGCCCGACTTTTGACATACACATCACTTAAAAACCAATCATCGAGGGAAGAAGGATTGAACCTCTCACGTATCTTAAAAAAGAACACCAACACCAGTGATAATATATTGTTTTTTCCTTTACCTATCTTTTGAAAAAAAAAAAACGAAGTTAACTCAAATTAAATATATCAAAGCCCTGGAGATGCTCTTGCACTCTGGTATCCTTGCTCATAAGAAATGCAACCGCAATTCAAGTTAGAAATAGAATGTGACCTCTACCTATACTCAGGTGCAGAAGCTTGATTTGACCGGTGGGTTCTTCCAAACTGTTGAATCGCTCGGTCAGCACTCCAAGGTAGTTCTAGTGTTAAATGAACCCGTCTTTTCTGGCATTAAAAACAGCGCCGAAAGGCACATCATGAGAAAAATAGCCACCTTGAAAAGCAATTGGTGCACCATAACAGATGATGTAAACGGTCAACTGTTAATTAGGAATTCTGTTTCATAATGTGCAGACAAATGCACACGAGCAGATTACTTCAGACACTGATGATGTCATTCGATGAAAATATAAAACGTCATCACAAAACTAATTCTACCTGATTTACTGCTCTTCTGTCTGCCTGCAAAGAAACACCAGCTGATCCAGCTTCGGAAATGATTGCAATCAGCTTCTTACCGTCCATGAAGAGCTGCTTCTCATGCATGTTGACCATTTCCATGGTCACATCCTTTCTAGAGCAACATTAGAAGGGGATTCAGCCACCACCAAATAAAATCAAATAAGTTACCAGACAAAACATGCCTAAACTCACGTGTTGCGTGCCTGATAAGCTACCCCTTTCCCCCCAGAGGCCCTAACAAGCATGCCTCGTCTACCGGACATTTCTGCAACATTATCAGGTCCACCAAGCTACACCAATAGTAAAATTCCCTGAGAGAGAGAAAAGAGAATTTGAGAAGATAAATGCATGAGATAAGGTCCTTTTGCAACTACCTGATCAATAATATCATCCAATGGATTGTTTGGAAGCTCCAAAGATTGAATTATGTCCAAAATTTTTGACTTACGCTCCATAGCTCCTTCATACCTAGGATCACTTATATAGATGTTAGGTTCCAACAAATATTTGGTTAAATAACAACTTGCACCATAACTGCATGCCCAGAGACCATAAATAAAAATGGTGTGTGAAACAATAAAGAGCAAAAAATATGGACACTTCTTCATATATGACCACCTCTTTAATAGCTCTGCAATATAGGCGTGTCTTGCTTGGAGATATTCATCTGTTTTTTCCTTGCATGAATGACAGGACCAATCCCCAGATACTGCATCTATAACAGGTGGGACTAAACACGCAGGATGGACTAGCTGGCCACAACATGAACATTGGAGTAATTTCTTTCTTTCCTACAACCAAGAATATAGAAGATATCAACCTAAGGCAGATAGACAAACAAAGTAACCTTACCAAACAAACAATAAAAGGCACATACCTCTTCTGAATTGCACATGTCACATATCTGAAACTCATCATCAGATTCAGTGGATTCAGGTTCAGAATCTACTGCATTGATGTAACAAAAAACCAGCAACAAAACAATTACCAAAACAGAATTCGTAACAAGGCGCCCACGGCTTTAAAGCGGTAATTTTAAAAATCACAGCTATGGGCGATGACAACAAATGCAGATATCAGTGATGGTAACATATGAAGCTTCGGGTGCATTCTGTAAATAGGCCAATTAGCAACACACCCTTGGAAGGCTTCAAAAATTCTGAAGAGAATATAACATGCAATGAAACTCAAATGAACAACTATTTGACAATATCAAAAATATAATAAGACATGGTTGAAGGTAATGAAGATAGAAAAAGTGGAGCTAAACGAAAGTAATGAATATCCAATTTCCAAAACAATGATCCTATGAGGAGAAATGGTTCGTAGGAAGATGCACATAATCAGCCACATCAAGGTTTCAAGAAACTAACAATCAGATTCTTCGTCACTTTCATCATCACTCACAGCTTTCCATTTTGCAACTTTTCTAACTCTCCCTCTAAATGAAACACCAGGTGTTGCTGAGTGCCTCTTTCGTTGAAGTTCTTTCACACTTTCCTCTGCAAGTATTAACCAAGAAAGTAAAAACTATTGGCAGCACAAAAAGAAATGCAGACAAAAACTCAACACGTAAACCCTAAGAATACCTGGAAGTGATTCAGGCTTTTCGGGTAAGGGATAATTTTCTTCAACAAATTTTAACAACAGCTCCCGAGGTCCAGAAATAAAATCATCTAGTTCAAAACCCTATTTAAAAGAATATTTTGAAAAAAACAAATCATAAAGAGCACTGAATGGTAAAAATTCCATGAGCACCCTTCTTATTTTCAAGGACTAAAAACGCACACACCAGAATGCAAGAAAACAAACTCACATATTTTGTCACAGCTTCCTCAGTTCGTGCTTCTCCAGTACTCTGTAGGCCAATGACCACACTCTTGTTCTCCATTAATGCTTGCTTCGCAAGTCTTACAACGGCAGGCACCTTAGCTGACATACACATGTGCCTAAAGAAACGCTACAATAGCACAAAGGAAAATCATACTCAAAAGCAACTAAACATAAGAAACAAAGAATTTAATATTTTCACGTAAAGTATTTAATCATAATGAGCTCCACAGATTACAAACCTGATGGCTTGCCCAGTATAATCTCCACAGCTGACTAGAATTGGGCTTGTCATTGGTGAGAAATGCACTTGCTGAGAGCAATTCCACTCTCAACTCTGCCCAAAATTCTGCTGCTTTCTTATACATATCCTGAAAAGAATGCAATTTCAGGAGACCAGATCAAATTTCCACACAGCAAATATGAGTAAGTCTACACATCCAGTTATAGAAGGAACTTTACAATGGACGATTAACTGCAACTGTTATTACGATCAACAAAACTCTTCCTTGGTTACAAATTTTCAAAAGGGATCTAACGAATAATGTTACAGAAAACTTGAAACAAGAAATTTGAAAGTAAGTAATAAATGGCAATTCTCAACATATTGTTCAAGTAGGACAAGGAATATAACCCCAACCATGAAAATAAAGCAAATAAAGTACAAACAATGTTCTTCCAACTGCTCCAGGAGAATATGATGAAAGGACTTTTTTATGGGAAGGTAGTAGGGAAGGGAAGAAAGATCATTCATCTCGTTAGGTGGGAAGTTCTGTCAAATCTAAACCAAAGTGAGGTTGGTTGTTGGTAACTTACTTAGAAATGAAGCCCAGTTGGGGAAGTGACTATGGATATTTCCATTGGAGCCTAATTCCTTGTGGCATTTTATTATCAAAAGTAAGCATGGCAAACATACCGATGGATGGGACTCTAATTGATGTAGAATGCAAGACGAGATGTCGGGCTAACATAATCAATGTGGTTTGAGCAGGTTGATTATTTTCTAATTATGTCAATTGGTCAATTTTTTAGGAGATTTTTATTTATTTTCTAATTTAATTATGAAGTTGCTTAATTTTATTTTTTTATATCAATTAGAATTTTATTTTATTATGTTTCCTATTTTTAATTAAGATTCTAGTTTCCTAGTTGATTTACAATTTCTACTATTATATAAACAATTGTAAGTCCAATTATTCTGGTATTCGTAGAAATTGACAAATTTATTGAAGTGTTTAGAATTGGTATTATGTGTGAATCAACAGACTTAAAATAGGATTTTGAACCGATGTTGTGTGCAAATCAATGATTTAGTTTTATTATCCCCTTTTGTTTATTATACCCTTATTTCTACCCACTTCCGTCCATCAGTTGGTATTAGAACTTGCGATCTTATCATGTCACTTGGGAGGAGTCTTGGTGGTCGGAACATATCTGTTAACAACCTGTCTGCACGTGGTGATGTAACTCGATTAGAACAAGCGGCTAATACGTTGACTATTCAGGTCCACAAATTCATGGATGTTTCTCAACGTGTCAATCATATCCCGTCTCATTTTGTGAGCAATAAGTTACCCGATGTCAAATGGGTTTCCTAAATCGCTTCCAGATCTCGAGACATAATTGATCCTGTTGGGTTTCTTATGAAGTATCATAAATCAACGATACACGTGGATGGAAGACCAAGAGTAGGTCATTACAATAACTCGTTGTAACTGTAATTCCAGAGGAAATTCAAGTTTTCAATAAGGAGTTGAATAAAGTATTTTTTTATGCATATTCATCTTCTCCATAATTGGAAATTGATTGGGATTTATCCCAATATTTGATGACTATCCGAAGGATAACTTTTTAATCAGTGCCCACGATGATTTTGCTATCCCAAAATATGATGAATATCCCAAGGATGATTATTTTTCAGATTCCAAAAAAAATAATACAATAGTTATTGCATCAACCGAATATTCTTCAAATTGTGACAAGAGATTTGTATAGATTTTTGATAAGCAAGTGTCGGAGTTTTCTTTTAAACAAATGAATGAGAAATTGCTCAAACAGTATGAATTGATCAATGTCATGGTTTCCCAAGGACGCATAAGGTCTGTGGCTGGCAAAATGTGTTAGCAGTTTTTTGATAACTACGAATTTCAGTGGGCTAGTTGATAACAGAACTTCAAGCGAAGACTAAAATATCCATTTCAAATTCAATGGATTGGTCGTAATTCTAAATTCTACCAAAGACACAGATATCAAAATGAATTCGGAGGCAAATTCTTTCTAAATTGGGGAGATTGATGCAGAACGAGTGGCAAAGATTTTGGTGTTTTAGATGAACATGGTCAATCCCATTCAATTAGGGAATTTTATAATATTTTCTTTTATTTCTTGATTTAATTAGGAAATTATTTTATTTTTATTTTTGGTTTAATTACAATGTTATTTGATTTGCTTTTCTAATTTATTTAGGATTCTACTTTCTTAGTTGCTTTAGGGTTTCTACTATTATTTAAAATCTTGCAAGTCTTGGGACAAAACAGTTTTTGATGAATACTATTATAAAGGAGGCTTGTCTCTCGTTTTCCCAATTATTCTGGTATTCTTGAATCAATAGATTTATTGAAGCCTTTAGGACTAATATTATGTGTGAATCAACAGACCTAGAGTAGGATTGCAACCTGTATTTCATTATCCTAATTTCGTTCATTATACCCTTATTTTTACCTCCTTCCATGCATTAGTTGGTATCAAAGCTTGCGATCTTTCTTGCACTATGTCACTTGGGAGGAATCTTGGTAGTCGGAAGACTTGGAACACATTTGTTAATAACCTATTTACACGTAGTGATGTAACTTGATTAGAACAAACGATTAATGTGTTAATCATTCAATTCAATAAACTGATGGATAGCTATCAATGTGTAAATCAAATTCCGTCTCATTTTGTGAATGACAAGGTGCCCCGTGTCAAACAGGTTTCATCAATCGCTACCAAATCTTGGGGTAAAATTAACCCAGTTGTGTCTCATGCGCCGTATCGCAAGTCAACGATACACATAGATGAAAGGCCGATGAGAGATCATTATGACAATTAAGTTGTTGCATTTGTGACCTTGAAGAAGATTCCAAAAAATGTTCGAGTTCTTGATACATATTCAAATAAGGTATTTTTTTTAATAAGAATTTCTCTTTTATGCAACTACAAGTTAATTGGAATTTACCTCCAATATTCGATATATATTCGGAGGATAATTATTTAATCAATAGCCAAGATGATTTTAATTCCCCGATATTTGATATATATTTAGATAAAGATCGTCTATTCCCCATAAAAGTTGATAATGTGAGGGATAATGTAATGGAGGCTCACAAAGAGGACGTTGTAGCTAAAGTTTTGTCTTTATATGAGAAGGTGAATGATAATAGCTTTAATAGATTATCACCAAGAGGAAGACTTGGGGTTGAAAGAACCAGGACAGCATCATTTGGCAATCGAGTTGATTGGCCATCACATTCCTGAAGTTGAAGTAGATGCAAATTGTGGTGATACATGGCTCATTTATGTCGTCGTCAACACAAGTAACAATGGAAAGGAAACTTTGGTCAATTTTTCTTTAGGTCCTATTAACACTGAGAATCATGGATCAATCTTTGGAGTCCCGTCTTCCAAGAACAGTTGTGCTCAAGGCTCACATAGTTTTCAAATTTTAGAAGATTTTCGTTCTGGCTTATCCTTTAATGATCCATTTTTGTTGTAGTTTTTAGAAAAATTTATGGTTAGGAAGGCTCTAAACCATTGGAAAGATTTCGTGATCTTAAATAAAGGAATTAAATATCGTTACTGTATATAAAGGTAGATCTGATTGTGAAAGACCTATTACCGGATAATTCATGGGTAGAGCTAAAGAATGTAAACTATGCAAATTATTAATAACATTGATCAAATGAAGTAAAGGCTCTGATGTGTAGAGATTCAAATTGATTTCATATTTTCTCTACGTGCTGTTAAAGGTCAAATTGATAGCTTATTTAAACAAGTAAGATTTTGGACCGGTCGAAAGCCTAAATTCAAGCGAAAAAACAAATCTTGAAACAAATTCAAGGCGAATTCTTTCCAACCTGGGGAGAATGATGTAGAATGCAAGATGCGATGTCGAGCTAACGTGATCAATACAGTTTGAGCGGGCTGATTACTTTCTAATTATGTCAATTGGACAATTTTGAGGGAATTTTTATTTATTTTCTAATTTAATTAGGAAGTTGCTTAAATTTTTTTTTTTTATATCAATTAGAATTTTATTTTATTTGATTTTATTTTATTTTGTTTCCTAGTTTTAATTAGGATTCTAGTTTCCTAATTGGTTTACGGTTTTTGCTATGAACTCTTGTAAGTCCTAGGGCAACGCAGTTTTGGATGAATTAATAATATTAAGAGTTTTCTCTTTCTTCCCAATTATTCTGGTATGCGTAGGAATCAACAAATTTATTGAAGCCTTTAGGACTAGTATTCTGTGCGAATCAACTAACTTAGAATAGGATTTTGAACCAGTATTTGTGTGCAAATCAACGGTTTAGTTTCATTATCCCTTTTCATTTATTAGACCCTTGTTTCTACCCACTTTCGTGCATCACTAATGCAGCAAGTAGAGGCTCTTTTTGTAACCCTTGAAAATTTATTTCTCAAGGTTCAAAAAATTTTAGGAAGTATATTAGTTCTTCCATTGGGGGTGGAATTTCAATTTTTTACATTGGGATATTTTAGTTTTCTCCCTTCTTTCTTTGCTTAAGTGAGTCTCTTTGGATTGGTCGATGAGTGATAGAAGGTTTTGGACTCTTGATTCTTTTGGGAATTTTTCTTGTGGCTCTTATTTCCAATGCTTGAATGATGATTCCAATGAGTCCATATTTGAATCTCACTTGATGATTTGGAAGGCAAGAGTACCTGTTACGCTGTAAGTACGGGCTTGCACAATAGCTCAAGGCAAGGTGAATACTTGAGACTTATTGCAAAAGAAAGGCCTAACACTTATACTTCACCTCACTGGTGTGTGTTGTGCAAGGAATGTGTGCAAAATTGATCAATTGCTTCTTCATTTCCTATTGCGAATTTCTTGTGGCATAAACTTTTGTGGGAGGTGAATTTGGTGTGGTCATACCTTGCAATTATGTTTCTCCCTTTGTGATGCTTGGTGTTGATAGAGAGGCACCGTAGCATCTTTGTAGGAAAGGAGGAAGAAAATAAAATCTTATGGGATATTGTGAAGTTCTTGGCATCTTTTTGGACAGCAACATCTAAAGAATTTCGCGATTTTTCGTTATTGGTACTTCAACATAATTTGAAAGCCGTTAGTAATTGATAATTTCTTTTATTTCACGTAATTTTTCCTCTTTTGGGTGGATTTCTAGTCCACTATTTTTTGTACATCTGTATCTCTCTATGAAATGAAATTCTTGTTTCCTATAACAGAAAAGCAATATTCTTCCAGCTGACAGAATATTTCACCAAGTTGACTGCTGTTAATCAACATGCTTGCCATCTTCAGAAGTGAGTCACATTTGTGATACTTTTATTTCCGCCTTTTCATCTTTAATAGGTTGTTTACATCTAGATTGATTGAAATTTCAATTACCATTTTTCATACCATCTGAATTGGGTAATGACTGCTCCAAAAACATTTTAAAGATGAAGAAATGGGTTGACATGCAAGCAACATTCAGCTTTGCTTAGTAGAAGTACTGCAATAATGAACTCTCAACATGCCAGGCAAAAACGTAAAGGTTAAGTTTGCAAGAAATTTCTTTTACTTTGGTTCCATGATACTCGAGGACTAGGTATTAGCATTTTCAAAATACCTCAAGGTGTCAAAAATCATGTCAAGGTATCTATTTGAAGCGTCAAAAAGCATAGAGATCACATATTCACGTCAAGAGATTAAAACATACATGTGTGTGTGTGTGAGTTGGGATATATAAGTATGCATACATAGGTTTGTTGTTGACATAATAGAATTGATTAACAGTGGAGTACTAAACTAATAGCCAATTTCTTATCCTACATTAGTAAAAGCAAAAAATTGCAATCTACCATCATTTTGGCCTCTAGCGGTACTTCAACAACCTCAAACTCTACCCCTTCGTAGCTCAGTGTACGACATACGTACATCCCTCTGAAAGGTCAAACGGCCATATATAAATAGGCATAGCTAACTTGTTACACAAATTTTACCACATAAAAATGTAAATTACAACCTGGCTTTCATGTCCATGGCAACAAGCTCTAGTGCTCCAACACCTCCTTTCTCTAGAGCACCTAACGTCAGATAAAAAGCATATGAGTAAGCTAAAATTTTACAGAGAGAAAAATGCATCCACACAAACACACAAAACGGTGACAGGATTTGCATGACCAAGAAAACAAAGCCGAGATCAAAACATTTACCTTCATGGTTAACAGAAGAATAAATGAAAAAGGAAAAAGAAAAAGAAAACACAAAATATCAAGAGCACGTAACATTTGCCCTCAAACCTACAGTCTCTACTCAATAAAAGGGGACATTGTTAAACAAATAATAAAAGCATGGGACAATTATAAACGCACTGTTAGAACAGATAGAGCAACAATTAGAAATGGCACAAGATCCAGAAGCTGGGGACTTGTACTACTTACTCAGATGGTTCTAAGGTTGGTTCAAATATCCAGAGGTTTGTCTCGAATTATTTGTGTCGGCATAACACGTATATAGACATTTTAATTCACATTTTTCTTCTATTTCCAGCAAATGCCTTCCCAACACATGTTCAAGCTGCTAATTTTTCTCCCTATCGCTCAATGAACTGCATAAGCTCTCTATCAGCTTCAGGCCTTATGATCCTTCAGTACAACTCTGGAACTAATTCATTATTTTACAAAATTTTTGCAAATGCCACTGATTCTGTTTTATCAAAATAGGACCAAGAGAATTCCTTAAGTCGTTTACCACATAAAACACACTCTTCTACCATTACACTATCACTAAACTAAACTAATTATCACTTCTATATGAAGAACTCATTTCAAAAATATGCAGAAGCAATACATTTGGAAAAATTATCCGAAGTTAAAAGACATTAAAAAGATAGGTAGTTCCGTGTAACAGAAATCACACCTAGAAAATCACGGAAATTAAGGAAACATGTTCCAGCTCCCCAAAGACCAAGACGAACCATATAACCCATATTACGTGGTTCCGATGCACCAGTTGCGGAGCAATAAATAACACGAGCCTCAGGAAGCCGGGCCTGTTATTTAGGATTCGAAAAAAAAACTGTTAGAAAACATTCAACATACCCATACCAAGCAATTTTGCAACTACAAGCCACAAAGATGGCTTTTTAACAAAACATGAAGAGAGGAAATATTTTGCACCAAAACTGTGCATGTTCATATGACACTGCAGGTAAGCTAGGGAGCACGGACACCTTGTTTAGGCCAGAGTGTCATTGGACACGTGAGGAACACGAACATGCTTTGAACATACTCGGACATGCTAAATGAGTATATGATTTTTTTGTTGTTATTTTACCCCGGAAAACTTTAGGACACATTGTGCACATGTGACCGTCTCACTAGGGACACATAACCCGACAAGTTGGCGACACGAAGAGGACACATTTTGGATATTTTTTCCCTTCAAATTTCTCAAAACTTGTCAAGTGACACCAAAAATAGGGAAAATTCTTTTTGTAATGTCAAACAGATGTGGGTAAAGAAGTAATATGAAAATGGTTTATAATTACTCCACAGACATGGAACATGGATATGGATACAAACATAATTCCGAACATGACTACAAAATGGGGGCGACACAACTAAGAACAAAACGAATACATTATTTATATGCAAATAAACTGATGAGAATTAGGAGTCCTTAGAGCTCTTTGAAATTGAATGAGAACTAGAGTCACGAGAAAATGGAGAATTCCAGCACTGATTTGCCAATGAAATAATCTTCTCCATATTGACAAAGCTATCGGGCTCATTAAGATAATAGGTATTGAAAAATTGACATGAAATGTTGAAATTGTCGCTTTAATGCGTTGATATTGCAGATTTTTCAACTCTAAGTTTGACTGAAAACGTTATATAAATAAATGTGTGGAATATATAAATAAATGTCCAAGATTTGGTGTGTCCCCCAACATGTTTGCGTCCTACTTTTTGAAAATTTGTGTTTGTGTATCAGGATTTTGTCGTATCCCTACTTCTTGGAGGGTAAGATTAATTAGCACATGTGTGTCTCAAAGCACATGTGTGTGCAAGTTAGGGAATAAAAATCAGCCAACAATCGGGACATGCAGTTATGCACACAAGCCAACAAAGAGGGAAAAACAAAAAAAAAAAAACAAAAGCACAAAAAAAAAAAAAAGAAATCCAAAACAATTCGAAAACAAAAAACTGTAGATTACTCGATCATTGCTGCCCTGTTCTTAACCAAGACTTCAGATCAGCAACTCTTATGTTCAATAAATGGGAATGTTCTGGAAGACAATCCCCTCATTCCAAAAAGTCATTTAGCATGAACTCCTCCCACTATATATCACATACTTTTCACCTGATGATTAAGGCACACAAAATGACCCATTTTGTTCAAAAAAATGGCAATCCCATCCCAACTTAACTAGCATATAAATATTGACAAAGACAACCAATGAAATATAGCCCATGAAACATGGATCAAACATTCAGATGTGATGTAGAACAAGAATTAATTTTTATTTTTATTTTTATTTTGATCTTAGTCCAATGTTGTAATAAGCCAAGAGTTAATGGGTCTTACTTAACCCAATTTCTAGTAGTTTCTTGAATAGAAATTTCTAGTGATGTATTAAATAGGGTAGTTGGGAGATGGTTTTGATATGTGAAAAATCATTAGCTAAGGTAAATGGAATATGGTAGAGGTACTAATATAAGTGGTTTGATGATGCATTAAATGACGTAGGTGGAAGATGGTAGAAGCTTTCCTTGAGTCCTATATACAGGGTACTTGTGTAACCATCGCAAGCACGAATTGTATCCAAGTTTGAGAATCAAAAATATTTTGGGAGTTTTTGTTTTTATCTTCTCCGTGAATTCAGAGTGTTTGTGTTCTTTACAATAGGAAACGGTGATTTCCTTTTGTCCTTTCGTTTACCACAGCATCAATTAGTATTACGCCCTTAACTAACCAGACATGATTTCTAATCAGCGAAGTAATGACAACTTTTCTCGTAACAATGATCATGTGGGAAAGGCTCTTCCAAGAGCTAACTTTTTTAGTTCTTGGCATTCCTCCTAGCAAGCATACCATGAGTTCCACGATCCAATTGCTTGGTCAATGTTTGGAACTAAGCAAGCTTCAGCTTATAATAGGGTTCACAACAATGATAGGGCTTGTATTCAACCTATTTGAGATCTCAATCTCGTCTCTCTTAAGCGACATCATATTTATGTGTTGATTTTATTGAGGATGATGAGTATGCATAAGTATGTTTGATAGTTATGATTATGCTAGATATTATAAAAGACATGATTCTGAGTATAAATTTTTCATATGAAAGTTGATATACTCAGTTTTGATGGTTACCTTCACATATAAAATTTTATTGATTGGTTGGCCAAGATTTAAAAGTATTTTTATTACATGGGGATCTCAAGGGATGAAGGTTGAGTTGGTGGCTTATAAGTTGAGGGGCAAAGCTTTTTCATGGTGAGAACAAGTGTAGTCTTTATGTGCAAGGCACCAAAAAGCTCCAACTTGTTCTTGGTCCAAAATGAAGCCATTTTTGACAAAGATGTTTTTCCCTCGGGATCATGAACAATTTTATTTCAATAGCAAAAGGACTACAAATAGAATGGCAGGACGGTCCAAGCATGTATTCACTCGTTCAATAATTATGCAAGTCTAAACAAAATTGTAGGCTATCAAGAATAGAATATTAAAGATGATGATGCCAAATGGACTTACGATGATGTTGGGGAGACTCTTGAAGGTTATTATGAAGAGAATGTTGAAGAAAAGTGCGAAGACAGAATCAATGACATTGAAACAAGTGAGGATGAAACACCTAAAGTCATAGGAGTTGAACCTGATACATCAGAGGGTAATGAAAGCAAAGACCATCATGAAAATTCGAAGGAGTTAGTACATGTGCACTATGGATTTGTCGATGGAGTTAAATCTGGTGACAAAGTTTGATATCGAGTAATGGTTGTACTAAAATCTTTGTCTAATCCTTTTCCAAGCATATGGTAATTCGACGGAGTTAAATTTGGTGACAAAGTTTGGTCCATAGCTAACAACTCCCCCTACTAAGCCCTTCCGAAATAGAATCCTACCCTTAGGACATGGTAGCTAAAGTGCCAAATAGCCTTCAATCCGATCCATTCGTTTGTAGAGCTATTTACTCGATTGCAAACAGTTTGAAACACCTATAACAAAGGGACAAATAGTCAATTTTAAAAGAATTTAGTCAACCTCCATAGGTCCTTGGTTCAACCTCCTAATGAGAATTGAGGTCCTTGCGCAGGCGTCTCCTCCCTAAGACTTGCTTGGTCTGTATGGAGTGCCACATGGTTCCTTGAGTGTTAGCCGCGTAGAGGAATGCCATCAACTAGGGCATTATTGGTCACTAACCACTTGTTTGCCGGCCGCTTGGGCTCTACTTTTCAAGTTCGTTATCCTAACTGTCTCCTCCGCTCCACCAAGAGCCTGGCCCCTTCTTTTATCTTATCTACTACATTGCTCCTCGGCTTGCCTATGATTTTTTCAAATGATATTTCCATATAGAAAGGTCTCCTTATTTCTTCATTGCGGGTTCTTGCATCATTTTCTTGAAAGGATATTACATCACCGTGGGACACTTTTAAAATGATTAATGATTACCATTCCATTACTTCTAACATTGTTGATTTGAAAACAAGCCAAGATGAAGCGGTTATTGGGATGACTTTAGCGGATGTTGCCAAGAAGTTCTTATAGCCATGCTATCATTAACGAAAGATGATGAGTGGACTATTATTTTATCAGTTCTTGAGGGTATAACAGATCTACATCAAGGAATGCCAAGGAAGATTAATAGAGAGGGTCTACTGTAGAAAAAGAATTAGCTTTTATTTTTATTTTGATCTTAGTCCAATGTTGTCATAAGCTCAAGAGTTAATGGATCTTACTTGGCCCAATTTCGAGTAATTTTTTGGATAGAAGCTTCTAATGTTGTATTAAATAGGGTAGTTGGGAGATGGTTGAGAACTTGAGATATTTGAAAAATGGGTTAAATGAGATAAGTGGAAGATGGTAGAGGTATTAATGTAAGTGGTTAGAGGATGCATTAAATGGCGAAGGTGTAAGATGGTAGAAGCTTTCCTTGAGCTCTATATTAAAGGGTATTTGTGTAACCATTTCAAGCAAATTGTATTCACGTTTGAGAATCAATAATATTTTGGGAGTTTGTCTCTATTTTCTCTATGGATTCAAAGTGTTTGTGTTTTTTTTTTTTTTGGCTAGGACAGAATGTTTGTGTTCTTTATATTAAGAAACGGTGATTTCCTTGTGTAAGGTCGTTTAGCGCTACGTTAAGATGTCCAATAGAGTTAAAAAAAGGAATGTCAAGGTGTCAAAGTATCCACTTCTCACAGGAAATCGACCATGTAAACAAGAAATTATCCCTATGAAACTCTAGCATAAAGAAAATGAAATGCCCTTTTTATTGTATAGTTCAACATCTATCCAATAACCCATTAATCAAAAAATTTGACAAGTGAAAAATGTAACATAGTAACAATACATCAATAGCTCAGTAGATCATCAAGGTAATAACCAACCCATTTTAAAGTTTTAGAAATTTTTATCAATAACATAAGAACAAAATACCACCTTTGTCATATTTAGAATTTAGTGTCTAGTCTTTTAAGCAACCAGTCCAAACCAAAGAAATGAGAAGGATTATGTCATGTACCCCTTACAAGTATGTTTCTTGAGAATATTTACGCCAGGAGAGTAGCGGAATACCAAAATTAGAGATAGTAAACAAAAAAAGTATAGTTTAGGGTTTGACAACAAATATAACTAAACGGAGTAGAATGGCAAAACCTAACTCACGTGCCTAACCTAAATAGTTGGGACAATAAATACTAAAGAACTCTCAACTGGGGCTGCAATGTTGAGCCTTGATTTTTTTATGCACTGAATCAATAGTTATGCATTTTTCAGCCCATGCCGAATTTTCACAGGCCAATTTAAACTTCTAGCAAGCATAAATGTACTTCCTCACCAAATCTGATGACACAAAACCGTAACTTTACTAACTTGCAGTATCATCCAACATGTCATGCTTGTATCAAACCTCATGGATCAAAAATCAGAACAAAATGTAGTGACGAACGAAACTTAAAAATTTGAGCTCATTCTCAAGATAGTAAATAATTCATAAGCCATTGCATGGTCTCAGAAGACGAGTCTTCTACAAAGGCCAAAACTAAGGCTTTCCATCCCACAGTAATTATGAAACCTTTCTGGCCTTGAGTGAATTTTTAGAGTAGTTGTTCACGTCACTCTCACTGTTTCTTTAAGCCACTATGCTGCAAGTTCATTGTAACATTTATTTTCCTAAAAAATTTACAAAAATAAGTATTTTAGATAGAAAGTAATCAACATCAAGGACTACAGTGAAAGTATACCATGTTAAAAATAAGAAACAGCATAAGTAAGAAACATGCCGGGAGAATTGTGTATCAAAAAATTAATTGGAAGAAAAAAACCTGAATCTCAAGAACTGCTTCGCCTGTACGTGTTGGTTGCCCTCCTGCTTCAGGGATCAAATTTTTTGCTTTATGACACTACATTGAAGCCACAGAATATCATCAATGAAAGAGAAGAAATTGCAATCAATTCTTGCACCAACTGTGCAATAATTAGTGGTAATAGTAATACAACTAAGACAGGCATATATAAGCATTCATGTAACATCAATCCATTTAACACATGGTAGACATAATCTCATACGATACCTCGTCAAATATGAGAAGACCATCATATTCTGGTCCACACCACTGCACAAGCTGCTGCAAACGAGACCGACCTTTCTCAGAAGATGCTATGAGGCTGCTGTATGTTAAGAAAACAACTCCCTCCCTCACGCCAACAGACTTTGAATCGAGCTTAGAATAAGGCAGCTTGTTCAAAGCATGCACTGCAAACCAGGATAATATAAAATCAAATTAAAAACACCCTGAATCTAAACCATTAGGATTCAACCAAGAGAAAAAAAAAAAAAAAAAACAAAGAAACACACAGAATTAGACAAGCATTCCGATAGGTCTCACATATTAAGCATGACACAACATAAAGTCCTCAAATTTGGCAGGCAAAATAAACAAGAGCAGATATCAGATAATTGCACCCTGCTTGGTCCACAAGCCCCACCCCTCTTCTCTCTCTCTCTCTCTCCCCCATCTCCTTTCCTTTTGTTAGGGTTCTTATTTTATATATTAGACATAAGTTAGTTTGTGCAGGGTAATATTGTGATTACTCTAATATTACACAGTTATAGTAAGAGAGTGTAGGGCAACCTAAACCTACACAACATATTATTCTCTTTATCTTCTTCTTCCTTCTTCTTTCCCCTTCTTCTCCTTTTCTTACTAACCTTAATTTTGTTTCTACAATTTTAACTTGTTATCAGAGCACATTTTTTTTAAAAAAAAAACTCTTCACGTGAAGATTCAGGAAAAGAAAAAAAAATCATGTTCATTGCTGACGTCAGCCCTTTCCAACTAAAAAACCTACTAATAAGTTCGACTTCTCCTCCTAGTTTTTATGATATTTTTGCTAATTTTTTTGAGGTCACTTTGATTGTGTTTTCTATTTTCAAATGATGTTCTAAAAAAATGGGTCTGATTTCGCGATCTTCTCTAGACCAATCTGGGTTGTTTCGATCTTTGGTTTCACACCTGAGAGGTGCGACTAGGGCATAGGGGGGCCTGTTGTGATCAACTCATGCCTTGTTGAGTTGTTTTTTGTGATTATTTTGTGGTTTAGAGGCTGTCGGCAGTGAGATTTCTTGGTTGGGTGCACTGTTCCGGTGGTTGTTTGGTTCCAGACATTGCGAGGCTCTGCTGTGAGCTTTGGGTTCCAATATCTGGCTGCTGTGAGCCTTGGTTCCAATCTTTGGCTGATTTGGATAAGATCTGTGCTCCCAGGGTACTTCGGCTACTATTTCTAAGGCTGAACAGTGTTGTCTTCTTGGTTTCTTCCAATTTCTGGTCTCTGGGTGTTTTCCTTTTTAAGGTTGTTGTGGGTTCTCTCTTCACTTGGTAGTTTGTTGCTTGGATCTGCTGCCTATGGTGTCGATTTGGACTTGAGAACAACCTCCTGGGCAAGCTGGTTTGTATGTGTTTTTATGGCTGATTAGGTTTCGGCAACTGCCTTTCTTCACTGAACAGTGCCGAACTGTTCCAAGATTCTTTGGGTTTGCTTAGTTTTGGCCTTTGTGTGTCCTCTAAGGCCTGCAGTGTGGTTTGTCTTCACTGCCCAGCTATCTTCGCCTGGTTTGGATGTGTTTTTGTGGTTAATTTGGGTTTCAGCTACCGTTATTTCTTCTACTGAAATTATTCCAGGTTTTGGGTATTGCTTGGGTTGTGATTGTTGATTTGTGGTGGCTTTTCGGATTAGTTCTCCGACTATTTGGTGCATATCTATGATGCCTTCATGCTTTTGATGCATCCAATCCTATTTGGTTGTTGTTCGGTTGCGTGGAGTGTTTCATTAAGTGTTGGCACTGTATTGGATTCCTTGCTGAGTTGTTCTTTTTGGTGATTTCTTACTTCTGAGTTGTCATCTGATGTCCAGACCCGGTTCGGGTGATTGTTGTGTGATTTGAGATTGAAATCCAAACTCGACATTCACGATTGTGGGTTTTCCGTGGCTACTTTGAGTGGTAGACGTGATGGTAAGTTTTGACCGTGGTCATCGTTTTGAGTGAAAATTTATTTATTGTGGTCGCACAAGACATACTAAATTTTATTGTTGGGATAACATGGGACACCAACTTATGCAAACCCGGCTCCTAAGGATACTTCAAGCTCTCTCTTACATCAAACTTCTAACAATGGTCCAGTTATTACTTCTCACGATGATCTTTCTTCTTCGCTTCGTAAACTCATCCAATAGTTATCTTCACTTTCTCCACATTTCTTTATTCCTACTACCGGTCTTGGTAACGAAGGTTGTGGTAAGTTTTGACCGTGGTCATCGTTTTGAGTGAAAATTTATTTACTGTGGTCGCACAGGACATACTAAAATTTATTGTTGGGATAACATGGGACACCAACTTATGCAAACCCGGCTCCTAAGGATACTTCAAAAGTTGTGCAAAAGTTGTGACAAGTTATTCCTAGTTTGAGTCTTTTTGTTTTAGAATGTGAGGCTTGTCAATTAGGCAAGTATCACCATAATTCTTTTCCTACAAGGTCTTCAAGTCATCAGTCTAGTCTGTTCTATATTGTTTACATAAACATTTGGGGTCCTGCATAAGTCCAGAGTATTTTAAGGTTTCAGTATTTTGTGATATTTGTTAATGATTTCCCTCATATAACTTGGTTATTTCTTATCAAGGTCGTTACCACCTTTTATAAAAAAATTCTGACTCAGTTTGATGTTTATATTAAAGTTCTTTGGTCTAATAATGCCCTTGAGTATACTCAATCATCTTATAAAAATCTTTTGTGCTAACCATGACATTATTCATCAAACCACCTGTCTTCGTACCCTCCAACAAAATGCATTGCTGAACGTAAGCATCTTCATTTATTAGATGTTGCTCATACCCTCATGTTTACCACGCATGTTTCAAACCTTATTGGGCAGACATTCTCTTATTAATCGGAAGCCTTCTCCTATCTTAGGTACCAAATCTCCATTCTCCACGTTCTATCCTAATATATCGCCCTTTAGTCTGACTCTTCGTGTATTTGATTGTGTTGTATTTGTTCATCTTCTTGGATTAGGTCGAGATAAACGTTTAACTTGTTCAGTTAAGTGTCTTTTTAGGATACTTTCATACTCAGAAAGGTTATTGTTGTTATGAACTTATCTCTTGCAGTTATTATGTCAGTGTCAATGTCACCTTTTTTTAGTCAACTTCCTTTTTTTTAATACAGGAACTACTCTTTAACCAGATTTGCTTTTTACTAGTCAGGGAGAACTAATATTGCCTCTTGTACGTGATGGTGTATCTTCTCCCCTCTCGAGCTACTGACCCTCCATTACAAGTCTACCGTTGTTCCGCGAATGGACAAGTTATTCCATATACTCCAGCTCCCCAACCAATACATGATTCCACATAGGTATTTTCTCCTAAGTCGCCTGATTTGCCTATTGCATTGTAAAAAGGTACTCGTACTTCTACCTAACATCTCATTTCTACTTTTGTTTCTTTACATCGACTTGTCTTCTTCATTTTGCAATTTTGCATCCACCTTGTCTTCTATCTTTTGAGAAAATTAAGGCACTTCATGAAAATAATACTTAAGACTTTACTTCTATTCTATCTGGTAAACAACCTGTTAGTTGTCGCAAAGTGTACACTGTGAAATATCATCCTGATGGTTCTGTTAGGCAGTTAAAGTCACGGTTGGTTGCTAAAAGGTACACTCAAACCTATGGTGTGGATTACTGGGAGACCTTTTCTCTTGTTGCTCGACTTAACTTTGTTAGAGTTCTTATTAATGCTACAATCAGTTATGACCGGCCCTTGTATCAACTAGACATAAAGAATACAAGAAGAGGTATATAGGACTCAACCTCAAGGTTATGTGATTTCGGGCCAAGAATAATTACTGTGTCATTTGAAGAAGGCACTATATGACTTGAAACAGTTACCACGAGCTTGGTTTAAAAAGTTCAGTACTCTGGTACTTCAGTTTGGTTTTCAACGCTCTACCTCAAATCATTTAGTTTTCAATCATCAGTCTTCTGCTGACATTATTGTTGTTATTGTGTATATCGATGACATCATCATCAATGGAAATGACTCTGATGGTATTGTTCACTTCAAACCCTATTTGGAGAAGTAATTTCATACCAAAGACTTAGATCTTTTTTTCTACTTCCTACGAATTGAAGTTCCCTGCTCAAAAGAGGGAATTAGTTTGTGCCAACAAAAGTATGTAACAAACTTAGTATCTGAACAGGTACTCTTAGTACATGTTTGATTGATACGCATATGGAACCTACAATTAAGCTAGATCCTAAGAGCGAAAAAGTCTTTGATGATATAGGGCGATATCAATGATTGGTTGGTAAACTAATTTATCTTACAGTTACACGTCTTGATATCACATATGATGTTAATGTGGCTATTCGGTACATGCATGCCCCTCGTAAACCTCTTTGAGAGGTTGTCTGCCGTATACTTCGCTATGTGAAAGAGACTCCAGGGAAGGGTTTATTATATCATTAATCATCATACATAACTGTTGTTGGTTATTCTGACGCTGATTAGGCAGAGGTAATTATGGTGATAAACGATCTACGTTTAGGTATTGCACATTTGTTGGTAGTAACCTTGTTACTTGGCGTAGTAAGAAGCAGAACATGATTGCCTGTTTTAGTACGGAGGCTAAGTATCGTGCTATGGCACATACTATTTGTGAAATGTTATGGATCCGTTCTTTACTTCGTGATATGGGACTTGATGTGTCTTTCCCTATGAAGATGCGCTATGACAATCAAGTAGTTATTTTCATTGCAAGTAATTTGATATTTCATGAGCATACCAAACACACTGAGGTGGATTGTCATTTCATTCGAGACCTCTTGATGAGATCATCAATCTATATATCAAGTCTGGTGATCAGCTAGGTTAAATTCTTACTATCATTGGGTCAATCCGCAAGTAGTAGTTTATGTTCCAAGCTGATTCGTATACTACAACTTGAGGGGGAGTGTTAAGAGTTCTTATTTAATATATTAGAATATAAGTTAGTTTGTGTAAAGTAATATTGTAATTATTCTAATATTACACGGTTATAATAAGAGAGTGTAGGGCAACCTAAACCTACACAATAGATTATTCTCTTTCTCTTATTCTTCCATCTTCTTTCCCTCCTTCTCCTTTTCTTATTGACCCTAATTTTGTTTCTACAATTTCAATTTCTTTAATGAAAGACCCTCGCCTCGCTTTGTAGAAAGGCTATAATTTGACCCTAATCGTTCTTCTAGAATTGTTTTCCTCCTCTATCCTCTATCTCTTAGCCACTTTCCTGTTCTGTAGTTGAACCTGTTCATGCATGCAGTGCCCCATCCAGTTGCAAACCACCTTACCTTCATGATTCAAAGAACCAGCAAGTGTAGCCCACACAACCAGAGCCCACACCAAAACATGAAAGGAAAGAGAAGGTAGATGTAACCAGAACACCGTGCTTATGTAGACTAAATTTCAACACACATTTACAGCATTTAACCCAAGGAAAGAGCAAAGATGGTAAAGATGAAAGACATGTCCGATGATACAGAAAATATACAGAGTTAACCTCAACCTTCTATACTAATTGCACCGATATCATCCAAGTCTCTTCTTGCATCAAATTTCAAGTCTGAACCAACAGAAATCCACCTGTGTAAGATCATCAGACAGCCGGAAAAGCATCACAAAACATACGTTTGAAAAATTAGTGCCTTGCAGCTAATGCAGTTACTAGACCTTTATAGAGTCGAAATACAACTATTATAAGATGTGCTTGTATGGCAAGATTGCATCAACCAAAATCTTACAATGCTTTCCTCCTCCCTTGATGCCAGTTCTCCCAGATTAATCCTGCAATTGTTCGTCCTTTGCCCACACCAGCTCCATCTCCGATAAAAAATCCTGCCCTGGCACCATTTGGAAGGTGCTGGAGATGTCTCTGTCGTGGAAACCACATTATATCGAATAGATGATGACATAACAAATTAGAAACCAATATACTGTTATAAAGATAACCTGACAAGAATAAACCAATGTCTCAATCTGCAAGCATGACAAAGCTTTTGAACTTTCCAGGTCATCTTTGATCTTAAGATCATAAGTGGGTTCAGGTGGCTGCACTGCAGATAAGGAAGATGTCTCCACAATAGAATCTGGATGGGGAGGACCAATAGCTAGTTTGAGAGGGCGCTGGACATAGCTCAGAAGAGAAAAAATAAAAAGAATTAAGAGTCACCACAATATTTCCCATTAGTTCAAACTAAGAACTCAAGGCAGACTAATAGCCAAGGTAGATGTGCAAAGAGAAATTGTCAAAAAGAGATAAAACTCACATAGTCCATAAATGTTTCTCCCGCCATGCCACCTTCATCTTCTTCTCGCTCCACTTCAATGGCTACCTGAAAGGTTATAACATAGGAAAAAGGAAATGGCAAAGCAATCAAAAATAGAAACTCTTGCACAAAGGATTCATGCAAACAAGGTCCTAAAATACTAACTTCTTTCTTCTCAAGTGTACCAGGGGGCAAACCATGTACAGACGACATAAACAAAGAGCCATCAGGAAGAAAATTATCATACCCAAGTAATAATCTGCCAATAACTCAACAAAAGAATCTGCAGACTCTGATTTTTATTTTTTAAATTTCAGAAAGAATAAAGCACAGGTTGGGTATTCCTCACAAGCATCAAAATAAATACAGAGATCAACATTAAATGCTGGGGTCATATATATAGGAAGCTTAACATCCTCAATGGATCTTATCTTCCTTTCCCTCCAAATCGTACATATCAGGTAAAGGGTGCCGGTGCCACATCCCCAATCTTTCCCCTTCTGCTCTTTTTTTTCGTGATGAGGAACCCCTCCAAAGCAAGGTCAAATTGGATCCACCCTTACAATATAAACCCCGGATGTCTGCAGTCAGCTTCTAACCACAGATATTATTTAAAACCCCGAGGACACCGGCGAGAGTCGAACTCAAGACTTTACGGTTCCATCCAAGCTGACCCCACACTTTACGATGGCTAATTGTCTACTATTCCTTTCTAGACATGCAAAAGCAATTAGTGAGACTATTTCTTCACTTCATATTATCAATTGCCAGGATAACCTCCCAAGCTGCAGTCCAAACAAAGAAAGCAACCTTCAAGGGGCTCCAGTAATACTTTATCTTTGCAATGAGAAGAGGGTCTAAAGAAGAAAGAAAAAAAATTTAATGTTTCAACATATGGTACATAGACCAATAGGTCCAATACACAATTCACCCCCAATCAAGAGATTTCATTAAAAAAAGGTCTGAAGTGCTTAACAAAATGATTTGGCTTTGCCACAATGCCATTAAAACTCTTGCAATCAAGTTGATGTAGGCACCATCATGAATTTTCAAGAGGATATTGACGGAGTTAATCGCAGACTCACAATGGCGGTTAGTATGAGAGCGGAAATTTTTTGGTTGGCTACCAATATAGCTAAGATGTGATGAGCATTCATCTCTACGTTGGTGTGTACAAGTGTATCTGAAGAACTTTATACAAGACCCATTTGGCAATTATCTTATATATGCAATTGCCCAGAACTACTCATTTTATAATTCCAACACAAATTGTCATATGTCAAACCTAGCAGAAATAGCCAACTTACTTTATTAACTAGGAAGCACAGACACGTCCCGCAATATTGTGCATCATGCTGGAGACGCTCGTACAACATCAAAAAAATGTCCCAAATTATTTTTTGAATTTCAGACACGCTGGGAATATATTCAAGATATGTTGGGGGCACATTTAGGATGAACTACACTTTTTATTTTGGAAAAAAATCGAGGGTCAAACATAGGATACAATAAACCTAGTATTTAGATAAAAAAAATCAAAAGAACAAGAATAAAACAAAGGGAAGGGCATTTCACCTTATAACCATTACGATAACATATACTAAGCTGAACAAAACTTGACAACTTATATTACTAACAAGGAAACGTGGACACCTTCCGCAACCTTGTGTGTCATGTTGGACACGGTTGGCACACCATGCTCAAACACACGGCAAAATGTCTAGGATTCTTTTCTTTTTTTTTAATTTCAGAGGTGTTGGGGCACTTTAGGAACATATTCAGGATAGTTAGCAATACATTTAAGCACACTAAATTCACTACTTTGGGAAAAAAACGAGGGTCAACTATAAAATACAAAAAAAAAAAACCTTGTAGTTAGATAAACATCAAACGAAAAAGAATGAGACAAGAAAAAAAACTTTCCACCTTATGAACATTAGACTTTTTATAAAACGAAAATGAAAATGGTAGCATGCTTCGGGTGAAGCCGGGGCCCGATTCCATTGACCCCAAAATCTAGTTTTTTATTCAAATCTCTCCTCAACCCCACACCCTACACCACAACCTATCATTATCCCTTACCAACCACCTCCCGTTTACAATCTTAATAGAGTCCCTTTGAATTATAAAACAGATACAGAGAAGAGAGATCTTAGGGGAATGGTCTGTGAAACGCAAATAAGTTATAATCTCTTCGTGTCCCTCATTTCAAAGAGACAGAGAAGAAATTAGAGATGTTTTTTACCTTGACCGTGACATAAGACTAACTCTATGTCTTTCAATGGCCCCCTGTGATTATTGATAACACACCCATGATGTCAAAAGTCCTTATTACCACTCGCTAAATTTTCCTTCAATGTTAATTTCATAACTTTGTCATGTTGGTCACACGATTATGATGTGAAGTTGATTAACATTTGACACTTTAACTAACAGGTGACGCTATAAATGATTATGACTTGTGAGTGTGTTATTTGTGATTTAATTTAAACAATACTAATCTTTTATTTTGTGTGAGTATATATCAATGTGTCATTCGTGCCAAAAAAAAAATGTGGTCTTGTCCACAACCTAATTTTTTCAAGATATTTCATATTGACCTGTATGTCTTATGTCTAATATGCGTCCCATGTCTGCAGTTGTGCTTCTTAGTCCTTTAAGTTTTCCATTCTCTAATATTTTGGGGTAGGCATTCTATCTAATTTAAGAATATCAGTTACTCTGTTTAAAATTTGTAGTTGATTTTGACTTGTTTAAAAAAATTTCATCTTTTCTATATGTCTTAAGTAAGGCATCAAATATTTGGAGACCGTTAACACTGTTGTTATTAAACTCGGCTCGACCTGCAAGTCAAACCAGTAAACCGGTGCCTATACCAGGCTGGGTCAATATTGAGATTGATTTGACAAAGAACCCACCCAAACCCGAATGACCCGGGCAGTTTTGGAGCAACCCGTGTAACCCAGAGGGTTTGTGTAAACCCGTCTGAATCATTGATCTTGCATAAAAAAACATGCCAACTAGTTTTAAGCCCTAGTCTCTCATTTCTCTTGGTCTTAGTTTCAAAATGTACCCTCACAGTCAGCTCTCACCATCTCCTCTCATATTCTCAACTCTCAAGTTGTCACGCCACTCAAGCCTCTCAGGCTTCATTCTCTACCAATCTTACGCATCTCACAGTCTCACACTCCACTTGAAGGTTATCAGATGTTGGTGCTTTGAATCTTGTGATGCTTTAACCATCTGTAGAATGGAATTTTCCCTATGTTTATTTTCCTTAATTTGTTTCTTTTCACAACTAGGAAGTTTTTTTTTTTGTTTGATGTTCATGGAATTTGTTGTCTCTTTTTTCTTCACTCTTGGTTGGGCGGTGTCTTGTGTGTCAAATAATGCCAAAATACTAATATGCTAATACTTATCATCTGCCTAGTGTCATTGCTATATTACCTATTCAATGAATCTATGTTTAAGATGTGCAATCCTTTGAGATTTTCTCAGATGGGTACTAATTATAATGTTGATGACTACAAGTGGGTTGAATTTCTATAATTTGCAAAAAAAAGCATTCCATACTATGAAGCACAGATACATCGAAAGGGAGAAGTATAAATTCCAGATACGTATATGATGCCGATACACCAGTACGTATCCCATTCGCCTACGGCATATCCCATAATTAATAAATTAAATTTTGAATTGCGGATGCAACTGGGATACGACCCGGCACGCTAGGATACCTCAAGATATGGCGGGGTTATCTGTGTAATTTTTTTAACAATCAAGGGCCACTGGAGCCAATATTTTATGGGGCCTTATTTGCAAAAAAAATAAAAATAAAAAGGAAGAGGAAGAGGAAGAAAAAATAAAAAGGAAAAAACAAAAATTGAGTCATCAAAACACAATCTGATAGAGAGATCGTGAAGAGGTCTTCTGGAGACGACACACAATACGCTATCTCCCTAAACAAAAGAAAACCCTAAACACAATCTTTTGTTGTATCGTACCCGTATTGTATTCATATACTGTATACATATCCGTGCTTCATAAATAGTTTGGGTAAGTGGATGTTTTAGGGTGATTGAATCAATCCATTATGTATACAAAGATTCAATGAGTTCATTCTATGTTTTGAAATAAATCAATTGCATTTTTTTTTTTTTATAGGAAACCATACTCGTCTATTAATTTCAAAAATAGTACATCAAATAGTTAAATAGGATGGACAAGATGTCCAAACATAAAATGGGGAAGAAAAAAACAAGACAACAAAACAAATCATAATATCTAAGGGGCACACGAGTCCTTCTAATCCGCCAATATGCAAAATAGCAGAATACCATCAAAATCCTTAGAAACGAATGCCCACAACGATGTCAAAAAATAGATCCAGTCCAATAAACATTTCTTCCACTCACATCTATCCACAAATATTATAGAATTTCTTTCCAACAAAATCACTCATATAATGGCAAAGATTGCACAATGTCAAATGGTCACTCATTTCTCATACTTTTCAAATCCCTCTAATTACTCCAGTAGCAAGGAAGAAAAAATCTCGGGGATCACCCAACTCAAACCTGCTAATTGAAATAGCTTGGACCATAACAACAAAGCAATAGGCCAATGCAAAATAAAAAGTGCTCAATACTCTTACTAGCACATGTATACATCACACACCACTATGGAGAAATGCAAAATCAATTCTATTTCGGTCGTGTTGCTTTCTACAATTTAATTTGTCTTTGGATGCATTATGTATGTGTTCTATGTAAATATTTATTTGATACACGTACCTTAAAAATATTTTTATTATTACTTCTAATTAGTCTTTTACAGTATGACTGATTCTATTAGTTGACCTAACGGTTAAACTAATGACCCACTAACCAAATTCTTTTCTCAAGTCCGGTCTAGATTTGATAACTATGGTTAACACCCCTTCCATATTTACTGTGAAATATTGATCACTAGGATTTGGATCAAAGTTATATTCTTTCATTTAGGCCCAACAAAACATGGTTCATTTGGATGAGAAAAAATCTCAATACAAAATATTTCAATATTTTTTAATATAAGTAGTATCACAAAATATTTTCTTGTGGCTAACTGTGATGTAGGACAACTTTGTAAAATAAAAAATAGGGACTGTTTAGGGGCTTTGAACAGTACCTATGAACAGTAATGGAGCTGTGAACAGTATTTTTGGTTAGGAATCACTCCTAGGGTTCCGTAGGCATCACACTCAGGATTAGAATTGCATCACACAACTCAAAAAACATGTAATTGCTCAAAATATCTCTCTCCATCTATTATAAAAAGTAACACTAACTATATATAGAGTTCTAAGTAATTCTAATCCCAAAAGATTAGGATTCCAAAGTCTCTAGAACTACAAAAACACTAGGTCCCTACAAATTAGAAAACTAAAATTAACTAGAAGTAGGACTTTAAATTCTAGAATATTCAATACTAGAATTTAACCCAAAAATATGACCTATTCCAGAAATTTTGAAAATTACAAAAATATCCTTGACACTAAAAATATTAAAAAGACATAAAATATTAATACCAACAAATTAACTTAAAATAAGAATGCAAGGTTCCATATGGATCTTTGTCTTGATGGAAAGTTAATTTCATTATATCTCACATCTTCAAATTTGTGTTTCCTTCACCATCTTATGGATTGCATCATTCTCCCCTAGTTGGAGAAAACTCGACTTCGAGTTTTAAAGTGTTGCAGTATGAAAGTCCAAAAACGTTGAACTTGTTTATGTAGCTGTCTCTGAGAAACGTTAAGATGATGTCTCCTTTTCTTCTCTAATTGAGAGAACAAAAAAAAATTTGAAAATTAATCCCCTTGATCGTGTCTTTGAAATTTTCTGGAATGATAAAATCAATTGGTGGAGCAAAGTGAATAAAAAGAAGCATTGGTGACTCTTCATGTAAATCCTTGAAAGATGCAAACAAATCAAGTTATTGGAACATCATTGTTACTGGTTATAAGTCATTAATGGGAACAATTTCACCGGACAACACTTTTAGCACTATTTCAGAGCTCTTAGGTAGTAACTTACTCATCTCTAAAGGCTCATTTGATTCAATACTAGTTGCTGGATTTTCTATCTTGTCAGGTTCCACAACAAAAAAATTATCTGAATATTCACTTGTTACCTTAGCCTCTGGACAAGTAAGTAGCGTAGTTGTTTAGGATTGTGTTGATTCTTCTACTTGATTTCCTTCTTATTGAATTATTCGATCAGTTATTACTTTGGGCTGCTTTTGATGAATCTTCTCTAGTTGCACAGTAGAATCTAAATAACTTTGAGTTTTACCCCCTTTGTGAAGAAGGAACCCTTGATGTACCTACTTGGTGAAGGAAATTTAGGTATATCTCCGTACTAAGTGCCACTTGGAATGCATGCTCTACGTTGTATAGTTGCTGCCCAAGTATTTATGCCTTTATATTTGCTCTTAAATCAACCTTGAATCGAGCAATTGTTTGGCAAGATTCTTCTACGATATGGTTTTTCAACGCTAGTTCTTCAAATCTTTGAATATACTCTATAACAAATAGGTTACCTTGTTGCAGATTAATAAGTTGTTTGCACAACTTGCTACTATAGTTTGAGGGCATATACCTCTATTGAAGCTTAGCTTTGATCTTTTGTCATGTGTTTATAGGAGGTTGTCTCAATCTTCTTATATCTCCTTCAACACCAAACCACCAAATTTTTGCCAAGCCTACAACTTTCATCTTGGCAAGCCTCACACTCCTCTCATCTGAGAAATTATACCTAACAAAATAGTTCCCCATAGAAACAAGTCAACTAGAGAATATTGTAGAATCATCCCTTCCATCAAAACCTTGGATCTCTATCATCATATATCAATATCTAAGCCGCATAACATAGGACTTTTTGGCTCTGATACCAAACTGATGTAGGACAACTTAGTAAAATAAAAATAGGGACGGTTTAGGGGCTGTGAACAGTACCCGTGAACAATAATGGGACTTTGAACAGTAGCGTGAACAGTAATTTTGGCTAGGAATCAATCCTAGGGTTCTGTAGGCATTACACCTAGGGTTAGAATTGCATCGCACATCTCAAAAAACATGTAATTACTGAAAATTCTGAATATCTCTCTTCATCTATTATAAAAAGTAACACTAACTATATATAGAGTTCTAAGTAATCCTAATCCCAAAAGATTAGGATTCCAAAGTCTCTAGAACTACAAAAACACTAGGTCTCTACAAATTAGAAAACTAAAATTAATTAGAACTAGAACTTTAAATTCTAGAATATTTAATACTATAATTTAACCCAAAATATGACCTATTCCATAAATTTTGAAAATTACAAAAAATACCCCTGACGCTAAAAATATTAAAAGGACATATAAAATATTAATACTAGCAAATTAACTTAAAATAACAATGCAAGGTTCCATATGGATCTTTGTCTTGATGGAAAGTTAATTCCATTATCTTTCACATCTTCGAATTTGTATTTCCTTGAGCATCTTATGGATTGCATCAAGTTGGCTTGATGATATGGATTGATATAACTAAAACAATGGACTCATTTCCATTTAATTAAGTTATTTTTATCTTGAATCCATTTCATTATCTTCTGTGGTTGACATATGTTCTATGTGACACTCCTTCCGTAATTAGCATAAAATAATACCACCAAAATTTACACCAAGTTTATAAACCTTTTATTTAGTCCCAACAAAACATGGTTGCTTTGAATAAGAAAAACTTTAATTACAAATTACTTCATTACATTTTCGCAAAAGTGTTGTCACAAAATATTCCATTATGTCATATCTATTATGACAAAAAGTCCACAAAAACTTGATTATGAAACGAATCCATTGTTTTAGTACTAGAGTTCATATCATGGAAAATTATGTTTTGAAATAACCAGTAATCTTGAAAACAAGGAACTCATCTCTTAATCCGAGCACAACCACTATATCTAAGACTCACCTTTGTCATCCCACCCTAGCTACACCACTAGTATAGTCACTGTATTCATCGTTAACCCATTTATTCTTGCCTAAACACAATCATCTCATCACTACATGTTGGGCCAATTGATTCTCGAGTATATTATTTGAAATTTTTTAGTTTCTAGGCGTTATAATCCTAAATCATGGATTGACCTCTCATTAGTATAGATACACCATACAATATCCCACGCACAAAATTCCTCTCTACTATCTCTCAAATGAATCCTCAAGCCTAAATAACAAAAATGCTCCCTTTTTTGTCATCCTTTAGCCATCCATCTTAATAATGCCCTCTTTTATATTTCCAAAAGAATAAACTTAACATATATTCACTTAGTTTGATCCTAGTGAATTCATTCACAACCAAGACAAAAAAAAAAAACCACTAGGGGCAATAATCCCATTGTGGGAATTTCACTTGCCTCAATTAAGCTAGTTTTCATTAAAGTTGCAACTGCATCATATTCATCGTAAATCATTCCAAAAGAGTTAGTTTCAAGTCTCATTATACATCCTCTTAACACTTTAGTTCACCTTAAGGCACTAGGTTTCAAAAAAAGCAAAACAAATATAGCTCTACAGTATTGCTAAATTTCTATTCAAGTCATATGCGTTCTCTCCAGGGAAAAGATGAGGTTAAATCAATAAGCTATGGGATGAAGAAGATGACCTATCAATTAAAGATAGCCATCGCCACACATACCAAAATACAAGATTATAAAAAAGTGATAATTGGCTTTGAGGTCTTATAAGTTGTTGTCACAAAATCTAGGTCACTCTGAATTAAAGATGTAAATTTATGCATGGATAAGTGTTTATGGTTAGATCAACACCAATGATGCGCTTTAAACAAAGAGACCCAAGACTTGCCTTTTGTCGCAATTGTCAGTTATGTGCAAATTTGGCATTGAGAGAAAGGACATTTATTTTTGCGTTATCCATATCATCTATATTTTGTTTGGATGTTATGGGTTTTGAAGGAAATACGAAAGGAAAGTCTCTATGGCATTGGCATTTTTAGCTACTATTTCGGTTAGTTATGGAAAATAATACAAGAATAGGATAAATGTGAGGAGGTTGAAGATTTAGGAGATCAACTTCTTTTTGGGCCTAAGTGTCTAAGAAATTCGAGAATGCTCCTCCTTTTTGCATTGTCGCGAGTTGGAATGCTTCATGCTGAATGTAGTATGATTATAATGTCCAAGTTGGTGTTCTGGATGATCTTGAGGTTACCTATCGGTTTGGACATCTTACCCACGTTTGATCGGTTACCCACGTTTGATTGGTTGACATGACACTTTACTATTTTTATTAACAAAATTGTTGTTTCTCATCAAAACAAAAAAAAAATGTATATATATATAGGTTACTAAAGTGCTGAGCAAATGCATAAACACGAGCTAGGTCATTCACAACAAAAATTCCAAACTAGTGAAATGGATGTCTAATTGTCAATCACCCAAGCTATCAGACATAAACAGGCACAGACTGATATGACTAGCTTTACAGAACAATGTTTACTCCATTGAATGCAATATTAATCGAGATTCATTTACCTCAAGTTTGAAAGGCAATGAATTTAACCAATTGGTCCTCCTCCTACCTTAAAGTCAATTTTTAAGGCGGATCATATGATTAGTAGTACAGCTAATGAAGAAAAATGACAAAATATTTGCTCAACAAAGAAGCTGGGAGCAATGTTACCTGCGTCGTGGTTTGATTAGGTACGTGGTACAGGTACGTAGTGGGTGACTTCTTCCGATACACGCTAAGATGGGGTATACTTGATTGGTTCCCTATTTTGGGTCACGGCTGGTTTTGTAACTCTTATCCAAATCGCTTTTACTATTATATGAAATAACATACAATTATACATCCTTCTAAATGTAGGCAACTAATATTTATTTTATATAATCTATAAGAGTTTCAGTACAACATGGTTTGCTTATTTGTATTATGAAAAAATTTCAAAACATAACAAATCCAAATATAAGTTTAAAGATACTGAAAATAATGAAATAACGAGTTAAGAGTTACAATTTGGGGGTTTGGATTATAATTTGGAATTATATGGATCATGATTCGATTTGAGTTACAATATGGGATCAAAAATTTGAGCGGTCTGAACCATGAACCCAACCCATCTTGGGACGTGTGACCCTGTTCATGGAACGCTAGATGATCCCGGTATCTATGGCTGGGAGAGGAATTTTCTTTATTGATCAAGTCATCAGAGCACTCCATAAAGGCTCAGATGCCCTTCAATGACCCAAGGGCGATACACTATGAAGTATGAACCAGGTTCTACTAAACTCTGAACTAATATAAGTAAAAGCCTGCAATTGGCTTCATACCCTTTCCTGGGCATTCCTACATCGAGATCAATTGTGAATTTAAACAGGCATGAAATTTCTGAAGTATTTGTATGGCGTCATAACCAGCATTTTATTTAGCTAAAATAACTAGGGCTCGATGTCACACTGCTCCAGATAGAGTTTGAAATAAAAAGAACTCGGATAAGAAATAAGGGGGAGAAAGAAATATAGAGAAACCTCGTTGACTTCTTCGAGTGGGGGAGGCAGTCGAGGAGGAGGTGATGGGAAGAACTGCTTCATTTTTGAGAGGTCGACGGCGAGGTCGACGCCACACTGAGGGCAATTGAAGCGAGAGAGGCCATGAGGGACGTTGAGTATGGCCTTGCAGTGAGCGCAGGGTAGCTGGATCTTGGTTGGATCAATGCCGTGAGCCGGCACTGTTCTCTGTTGTTGGGCCCGCATCAGCTCGGGCGGCAGCATCTGCGGCAATTGGCACGTAGGGCACACAAACTCCAACAGTCCCGGTCCCACCGTCAATATCATCTTGCAACCCGCACACCGAACTTGGCACCCACCACCGCCGCCGCCTTGAACAGCGGGTTGTGGCGGTAGTGGTTGTGGGGAGAGCGACGGTAGAGGTGGCACCGATGGCTGCTCCATCTGTCAGCCTTCACTTCCAATCGCAACTTAGCGGTGCAATTTTCTCCGCAATAGTGTCTAAATAAACAGATATGTAAACAACAGAGTATTGGATGAGGGGAAGAAACAAGAGAGAGACAGAGAGCGCGAGGGTTAGGTCTTCGTTAGATTAGCGGCAAAAAGAAAGCCGTTTGTACGCTCGTTGGCGCCTCTCTGTGTCTCTCCCTGTCAGATCGAGTAATTCCCTTGTTCCGGTACTGTCGCGAATAGAAAACCACGGCTCACTCGACGCTTAAAGTTGTGCGCATTATGTTATTTTGGATCTTCTCACAGACTATGAATCGTCTAAATATAAAATACCAAATAAAATCCATTAAATTATAAATACAATTAAAATTAATTAATTACACTCAAACCCTTTAAAATTTAGTTATCGATCACATAGATGACGGACCCCACAAGTATAATAAATAACAACAATAAATCGTGCTAAAATTTTATAAAATAAAGTAATTTATAATTTAAATTTCAAAAAAATAACAAAATAATTTTTGTTATTCGCGATTGAAATCGCTTTAAATTTTATTTAAAGTTAATCTAACGGCTAATATTAACACCTTAAACTTAATAGAAAAAATAAATTCTTAAGGGTGCATTTGGAGTAACTTTTTAAAAGTACTTCTAGAAATTATTTTTCATAAATACTTTAAAAAAAAATTATTTAAAACCGTCCCACCATTATCTCTACCACCACCGTCGTCACCGTCATTGTCACCACTACCGCCATTGTTATCGCCACCACCACCCCCATTGCCACCACCACCACTACCATTATCATCACCGTCGTCATCGTAATCATTGTCACTCACCACAACCATCACTGTCTTCTACCACCATCACTGTTGCCCACCACTTCTCATTCTTATTACAAATTGATGCTTAAATTCTTTTATCTCTTCTCTATGTTTATGATTTAATTTTTGATATAAATACAAATATGTTTATTTTTTACTATTTTTTATTACTATGTGCCTGAAGGCACAGACAATAACTAGTCTATATAATAAAATAGCTCACAATTCAAATTTCAAAAGATAAACAAAATGACTTTTATTATTCGCAATTGAGATCGTATTAAATTTTACTTTAAAATTAATCTAACGGCTAAATATTAACACCCTAAATTTATAAGAAAAAATACCCCCCTAAGGGTGTGTTTGGAATGACTTTTTAAAAGTACTTCTGTAAATTATTTCTCATAAATACTTTAAAAAAATAGTATTTGAAATCGTTCTACCACTATCTCTACCACCACCAACGTCGTCATCACCACCACCATAGTCTTCGCCACCATCATCGCTGCCCTCATTGCCACCACAGTTATTGTCACTCACCACAACTATCACCGTCTCCTACAACCAACACTGTTGCCCACCACTTTTCACCTCCATTACAATCGATGCTTAAATTCTTTTATCTCTTTTCTATGTTTGTGATTTGATTTTGAATATAAATATTAATATGTTTATTGTTTATCATTTTTTATTACTCTGTCCCTTCAGACACAAGTAATGACTAGTTATTAAATAATCACTTTATCATTGGTAAAACATAACCCCACATGCATATACTGTCGAGATGGCCGCGGATCTATTCTTCGAGAATGTTGCCCACCATACCAAAACCTATACCTAAACAAATGTGTCATTTTTCTATTCTTTTCATTCTCGACTTGTCTTCAATGGTCCTCCCAATCACCCCCCATTCTTTATTCCATTATTAGACCACCCCTCATTTGTTATTATTCCTTTGCTGGCCACCCACACTTCATCGACCCTCCGCTCAATCCCCATTCTTAGACCCTTTACACACACTCCCTTCCCTTTCCTTATTGGTCCTTCGCCTTGCAAAAACACCCACATAACCACACCCAACACGAATCAAATTAATTGCACCACCACACATCCTATATCCACATGGCCGCCACCAAGCTCAAACCATCCTTCTCCATTACCCCCCGCTCTCACCCTGAAACCCTTCTTTAATATATCCCTCCCACCGAGCTCTCTTTGGAACAAATCCTTCCCTTACCCAAAGACCTCTCCCAACCCTAACACACTTCCCCTCTTTAAACAAACCACAATCTATACTACTTATAAAAGTGACTTAGGATGAAAAACTTTTATTTTCCTATTATATCCTTAATAAGCTCTATAATACCAATTTTATCATGCATTGAATATAAGCATTCATTATACAAGTAGAACTTAAAAGACATAGAACACCCTTCTACTAAATCAACCTGCCTTCTAATGTTGGTTTAAATATTTTCTTATTCAAGATTATACCTGTATATACAAGGTCATGATTCACCTGAAAGGAGAAGTTGGAAAAATCGATCAAGAACGAAGATATGAATAATTTGTTCGTTATATGATTACAACTTTCAATTAACAAAATACAACAAATAGACTATAGTTTTTTAGCACTGTTTTTTTCTTTCCCTTTCCTATTTTCCTCATTTTCTTTTCATTACCTTGTTAATTTTTTTTTATCGTTCACAATTCTTGATTTTGGCAATTTTTATAATTTCTATCCATTGTGTGTTTCAGATTGATGGTGGTGAAGAAGCTAGGTTTTTCTTGCCTTAAGAAACGATATGAAACTGGGAAACAACTTTAGAATGTCTTGAAACTTAGTCACCAATCAATTAATTTGTTTGAATTGTTCCAGTGAGAAATGTTCAAAACTATTGTTGGTTACGTGGACTATTTTTGCATTAGTTGGACTTGAACTTTGGGCCTATTACATGTGGGGAGTGCAGCCATTTTCCTATATATCAAGAGTGATCAAGAGCAAAATAAAGGAGAGCACATTCACTAGCTTGACATTTGAGAAGCAACAACTATAAATCAAATCTAAAAAACAAATGCTCCTCAAAAGCAAGTATATGTGACGAAGAACCAATTTCTTTCACCTCGCCATAAGATTTTTAGAAGCTGTTTTTCTTGTTCGTTTTAGCCAACCCATCAAAAGGAATGAAAAAAGGAGCTCATAATTTTTTGTTGGATATCAAACTTGAGCAATGATGTTCTTCTTGAAAATGGAAATGGCATATGTTTTTTTTTCGTCTTTATCAACTTTTGGTTTTAATTTGGAAGCCGATAAAGTGATAGAGTAGTAATATGTAAATTTTTAAAGAGACACCCAATTTAAAGTGGGAAAAGAAATACTTCTTTTTATTATTGACTTTAAATTTTGAAGCATTCATTTGCTTTTTGTTTGTAAGCGTGATAGTGATCCACCATAATCAGAAAAAAAAATTGTGATAACGAAAATAGAGGACGAGAATTAATATATTTTAAGTGGCTGTTGATTTGAGCATTCGAGCAGGTGTTGCTTTTCAAGTTTTTTGGTGTACTATTAATTTTTATTTTTGGTCATTTTCTTTCAAGTATTTGTTGAGTGAGTAATGAATAATATAAAATGCATAACTGCGAAGTTAACAGCATAATAAGTTTTTTATTACTATCCTAAGCATGACAAAAAATCAATAAACTACTGCATAAAAGTTGTGGCACAACACTCACTATGTTTCAAGTAGGTATAAGAGGGACCACTTGTTTTATGAAGAAATAAAAGAATACAAAATTTACTAACAGTTATTAGATAAATATTATACACAAATTTTATTTAAAACAGTTCATGTGCAAACTATATATATATATATATATATATATATATTAAATCAAAAGATGTTTACAAGGTGCATCTAGGATTTATATAGCTAACCCAAAAAATATTGAAATAATATATGTCGAGTTGATTTTTTAATCATGTATTAAAATTTGTTACTGATAATTGACCAAATTTTGAATTTGCATTTTGCAATAATTCGATTCCAATATTTTTAAGTTTAATTATTGTTTCGATTCTCATATCTCACTAATTGAATATAGATAATTAAATTTGATTATTTTATGCTGCATAAGTTGAGAAAGACCATGAGAGACAATGGGTATATCAATGGGCATAATCTATTCATACTCAAAATTTGGTAAATTAAATTTTTTTTTCAAGAGAAAGTATCATGATAGTCAAAAGACTGAAAGAAGAGTTTCAACTATTGTTGTGTATTTTATTAATTTTCAAGAGGCATCAACTTATTTTTTAGTTCTGTATCATCAAATTGACAACGAATCGTATAAAAATTTCTAAATTTAATTTTTTCTTGGGCAAATGTTGAACTTGGATCATGGAATAGAATGAACGTATGGTTTTAGATTATTTGATTTTAATATATAATATTTTGTATTTAAAATAGTTCACGTACAACGCACATGTTCATCAACTAGTGACTATATGTGTGTGTGCGTGCTTACATGTGTATGTTGGTCCCAGACGTAATACAAGCAGCGACAAAATGTCGTTAGACTGTTGATCAAGTGCACTCGGAGAGAAAACAAATATGGCGACTTGATGATTTGATCGAAAGTTTTATGAGAATTTCTAGATGAAGTATTTCATGATCAAATATGTATTTATAGACTTTCAATGGTTACCAATATGCAACCATTCAAACAGGAGACACAATATTTTGACAAAGATTGTGTCCGTTGTCGACCGAAATCACCACCAACGGTTGTAGTTCTTGCCTAGTGTAACCGTCGTCAACTGCTTCCTCTCCTACCCGTGCACGAGAAAATATCACCGGTTAATGTCCATGGGTTCACTGACTTACAATGTATGCATTGGTTTGTTAAGTTTCAAACAAATAAAGTTATGTTTAGATTTAGGATTTGTTAGTGCATGTTGATTTTCAATTTAAGAAAACGGAGGTGGTGCTAATTTTTGGGTGGTAGGGCTCTCTAGATTGGTGGTTGCAGGTTAGAGATGAGGTGTGATACTCGATTCTCGTGGACACGTTACTTGATATTTTTAATACTAAATTATAATGCCTCGACCATCACCCACTCATATGAGAGGTGCAAGTGTATTAGTGTATTCCACTAGGTAAAATAGATAGAATGAACTTACAATGTAAACTTCATAATACAAACTCTCAGGTTTCAACAAAAATTTAAATGGAAAGATATATTCAATTCACAGCTCAAACAAGGAAATCATTTTTGACTATAATACGTTCATATTTTGCCCAAAAAACTCGGGAAAAAAAGAAGAAAGATAAATAGAGTAAGGTTAGCGTCAACCAACTTAGTAGATTAATTCAATTTTGTCATTAAACAAAGTTTGAACTTAATCAAAACTTTCAATGATTGGTATTTAAAGCATCATTTCAGCATATATACATACAAGCTAAAACAATTTCAAAATAAAAAATAGAGTCATGGGCTCTAAAATTACAGTTATGGTCTTTTTGTGTAACTGAATTTGGCCCAATAAATTTGAAATGTGAAAGACTCAAAAGACTACATAATTGTCCAAATGGAGGAAAAAGTTTGTCTCCTTCATAAAAGCGTGTTATATTCTTTCTCACAATTGTCACTTCACCACAGGAAAAGTATTTCAATAAATGCAATATGTATACAAATAGAAAAAAAATTAGGAAACAGATAAACTTGTACATAAGCTCTAATTTATCAGACTTGCTTTACAATATAGAAAATTTTCATCTCGATACAGTAATTTTATTTTAAAGAAAATGTTTTGGTCGCAATGATTTTTAAAATTTCCCTCTATGAACTAGAAAGTATCAATCAGCATAAAAAAAAAAGAGAGGGAGAAAAATATAAATCAAGTCAATTTTTACTGAAACCCTTATGTTCTATTTGGTAGGAAGAATGAAAAGTAGGAAAGATGAAAAATATAAATGATACACTTTAATTTCTTTGTGTTTGGTTTGATGAATGGAAAAAAAAAATCACTATTTTTTTTTGTGCTAGCTAAAATTATGGGTGATAATCGAGTCGTGTCATGTCGATTCGTGTTGAGTCATAAAATTATGAGTTGTTTATATTTTTTATTCGCGTGTCAGTTCATTTTTAAATTGAGTTATAATCAAATTCGTGTCATAAAATTTAATATCGAGTTCGAGTCATACCAGCGTGCTGAGTCAAAAATTTTCTTGTTGGGATATACTCACTCCATCTACCGGTAGTCGAGCTCAAAAGTTATTGGGCTACCAAAACCAATGAACTTAGTGAAATCCTCTATAGTTTAAAGTGTAAACCTGACTTGTAGGCCATCTGTCGCTCAATCCTGTATAGACTTTAATGAGAACAAGTGCACGAGAGTGTAGTAAATTTCAATCACTATAGGCTTACATGAGATTCCACCTTAACTCTGTATCTTTTTCTATTGATCACGTATGAATTAATGAGGCACATGCAAGACGATGCTAGACACCATATGCCAAGGATATTATTTTGATTGACGAAATTAAAATAAGAATTAATAGTGAAGTAGAAAAACAAAAAGATTTTAGAATAAAAGAGATTTGAGATAACTAGAAATAATGAATTTACTAAATGTAACTTGGTGGAAAAAAAATTAAATATTAAGATAATAGAGATCAACGATCAAAGTTATATAAAATAATAAACACGGGGTCAATTATCTACCATGGACAAACGATTGAAGCAGTGGGATATCAATTTGGGTTGAAGTTTGAAAAGGAAATTTTGAATGGAATGTTAACATGCAAGGTTGTTTAGACCATCTCCAATTGAAAATTATACCTTTATCTAAATTTGAGTAAAAAATTTGATTTGATATGGGTTTCTTCAATTGATAAACTCATATTTTGTACTCAATTGTACACGTTTCTTATTTTTCTCTGTAAATTGAGTGGTTTATACTCACAAACAATAAACCAAATAAACTCCAAAATCAGCAACTAAATAAGAGTTCACAGTTTGAGAAGTGAAGAGAAAATCAACCCACCCCAATTGTATACCTATATATCTATATCTATATTTATGTCTATACTACTTCTAAAAATTTTTTAATATGAAAAACTTTTGTTTTCCTATTTTAACCAACTCTTTAAAGACAATTTAATCCTTAGATTATGAAAACTTGAGAAACATGGGATCATTTATTGTCCACTTAGTAAATTTTTTAAAGGGCAATAGATTAAAATTTTAATAGATGAATAATGATAATATTAAAATAAACCTTTTACATTCTCCTCGATTTATATTTATATTTATATCTATGCTACTTCTATCTATATATATATATATATATATATATTACTTCTAAATCAATTTATCTATCTCTACTACTTCTATACTAGGGGTAGGACACATTCTTTATTTCTTGTGGAGTACAAGGAACCGGGTTCCACTCCCCACTTGCCCCCTACCGCTTCCGCTGGCAGCTATCATATTCAGAGATGCTTGTAGATGACGTGTTGGTCCACCTCCCAAGTCTCACCCCAACCACCCCATTATACACGCAATTACACTAAGGATTTAGCTACTACCAGTAAAGTAAGTAACCTGTAGCTGCCACTTTTATGGTATTGGGGCCGACGCGGTCCGGTCCTTCTCGTAATATACTTTTTTCCAATCAACAAGAAAGCATCTGCTGCTAAAGAGAAGAGAATAGAAGAGTTATAAAGTGAAATTAAAGATAAAAGAGTCATGGGGCATAACTTGAGTATACGCTTTATTTGATTGAAATTGGGGTTGGGATGGTAGTCTTCAAATGAAGAAGATGAGATGGGAAATGTTTTATTACAGTCCCGAAGAAGGCACACCAATAATAATAGCAGCAGCAGCAGCAGCAGAGGATTAACACCTTCCCCATCATCATCATCGTTTAGTCAAAACAGGTCTTCCAGAGGAGAAAGGACGCCGCCGTCATCAGGTTCTTCATTCGTTCCCCCACCTGTTCGTCCACCACAAACTTTTTCTATGCAGAAAACTCCCTCCTCTTCCTCATCCACCACCGCCACTCGCACAACTTCTAGTGATGCTGCTGCCCCTACGGCTGCCAAAAGTACAAAAGAAAAGAAGAGTATTAATAAGAAATACGAGTACATCCCCGATAATTTCTCGACCCTCGATCAGGTTAGGTTCCTACGACTTAATGATCTATTCCTGATCTCCACCTCTAGCTAGCTCCATTTATTTATTTATTTTTGGTTTTCCAAACTAAAAACGCTTAGAACGGCGTTCCTTCCCTTGGGCGATAATCTTGTGTTCTTCTGTTTGGCTCCCCCGGCCCATATTGTCGTGTGTGTGTGTGTGTGTGTGTGTGTTGTCTGCCTTTTCTTCTAGTAACTAGCATTTGCATTGCTTAAGCTTAATTAGGCATTCCATTTAACACTTGATCATTGAATGTTTCATGAGAGTTGGTGGTGGGGGTGGGACTCATTATTCCAACAAATCACATTCATTCATGGGGTATTTGGGTGTAAAAAATTTATTGTCCCTTTTAGTAGTTGTAGGATTGTTAAACTCAATTATGCAGTCAGGTTGAACTAAGATTAGTACTAGTTGGGAGTTAGTCTTGAACTGAACCACACCTCTAACATGAAAATTGGGACACTGACACATTTCACTTGAGAGTTGAGCCGGGGGCAATGCTTGATGAGGGAATAATTCGTTTGTGATGTTAGGCTTGGGTAATAATATCATGTGCCTGTGCCACTGCCACTGCCACACACAAAATAAATCCGAAAAGAAAGAAAGGCTAACCTTTGGAGTAGTGACATTCGTTACTTGGCAAAGTCGGGATATATTTGTCGTATGAAGTGGCTTACGTCAACGCACTTCTGGCGCTACTCAAGCAGAAAATATAAATGCCACCGTATTTTTTTGGCGTATTTTTGAATTGTGGACATGCCAAAATTTACGTATACTTAAGATCCAAACACATTTCTATGCCTTAGGAATCAAGGACATAAATAATTCTCTGACTAGCACGTAATTGACCGAAAATGTAGAAAAACAACGATAATGTAAAATAGCAGATAAATTGAACTTGAAGTAAAGTACTGTACTTAACATTAAATGAAAGATAATAAAGATCACCGGAGTGACGAACTACAAATTGTGGTAAAATAAAGTTGCAGGAAAGTAAAAATAAATAGGAGAGAGGTTAGTTTTGTGTAGACTTATTGTGTTTGATCGAGGTTCTTTTTGTAGTAACCTTGCCTTTGTTATTTATAGGGATATCCATCTGATGTAGATCTTATTAGGGAAGAATTAGGGATGAGAAGAGAAGAAGAAGGGGACGAGAAAAGAAGATGAGAATAGAGAGAGAATTTTGGGAAGAAGAAATATCAAAATTCAATGTCAATAATTAATAATCAAAGTCTAGTCTCACAACAAATATGTATCCCCTATATATATAAGGAGTTCACAAATCCTATATATATAAGGTGATCAAAAATCCTAAAATAAATAAATAATCAAAATGACAACTAAACCCTTAAAGGTTAAAAGAAAATACTTAAAAGATAAATACTAAATTACTCTCATGATTAATCTAAAATATCTATCAAATTCCTACACAATCTCCATCATTCTTCTCCGGTTGAAAAAAACTCTCCCTTGGAGAATCTTAAAAGGAGAAATACCCTAAGAAAGCAGGATGAAATGACATAATGCCTCATCTAGAATAAAAGAATCATCAACTTATTTCCATTGATCAAGATAAATACAAGAATCTCCATTTGTATGAACACCTGTTAATAAAATATGAGGCACTGGAGTACCTCGATTAAGTAGCGTATCCTCCAAATAAAAATTTTGACTAATACTAACATTCAATGAAAAATTAAGAATATAAACATTAGATTTAAACTCAAGAATAGGAAAACAATTCTCATCAGACTTGAACAACGAGCATTTAGTGGGACAAGACTTCAATGCTAAAGTAGGAACAATAACGCCTTGGTGCTGAAAATAATTGAGTACAAACTCAAGCGAACATTTGACAATAGACAGAGGAACAAAGTCAATAATCTTAGATTGGGAAGAATCCGCAACAAAGTCATGATGACTTGGACAATTAGATACTGAATAGTCACTAGTAGATTCTGTAATAAATGACTCGATTGACTTAATATCTTGCATAGGTATAGACTCAACAAACTTTTCTACAATTTTCAAAACCAATGATAGTTCAAGAATTGACATAAGTAAAGACTCACATACACTCTCTTTCGAAATAAACTCTTGTAGGTGCAAAAGGAGGAGAACTCTGATATGACGAAACTGAATGAGGGAGTTGAAAGTACATATGAATAACATTTTTTTCTTTATCTGATACTAAAATATCTAAATCCTTTGCCATACTCGGATTAGGAAAGTATGCAGAAATAACATGGACATCGTTTAAGTAATCATGATATTCATATGTGATGGAATTAAAATTAGAAGATGTCCTATCAGCAGGTTGTTGAGAACCCATCAAGGTATAGTTGAATTTCTTAAGAAATCTCTCAACCTTTAGAGCATATTGATAGGCTCCAACTAAGGTATTAAAAGTATATTACTCGACCTCCTTACTAATTTTGTGTCTCAACTCAAGAATAAACTGATCAATTGTCCAAGGTTTTTCAATAATATCACACAAGTACATGAGATAATCAAACTGGACAAAGTAATCACAGACACTATAAGAATGTTGTCTAAGATTGAGCCATTGGTCATAAACTTGATCCTTGTAGAAAGTAGGCAAATACTTCTCTTTCAATTTATATCTCATTTCAATCCAAGTGATAGGTGATTCTCCTAAGGGGTCTAGGCTTCTTTGGATTATTTGCCAATACTTCTTGGCGGAATCCTCCAACATTAATTTAGCGAAATGGACATAAGGGGAATCTGACATGCCATGCCAATCAAAATATTCGTCTAAATTGGCTAACCAATCTAAGAATTGATTGGGATCTAAAGTGCCACAAAATATAGAAGGATCTTTGACTAGTGTGGTCATATGGGTTGACTCCATGTAAACATCTCTAGACTTCCTAAGATGATTACCTCAACGAGAGACTCTTGAAACATGTGCATTAGAGGAACTCATGAGTGACTCTTGAAAGATGAGAATGGAATAAGAACAAATTCAAGAATGCAATTGATAATTACGAGAAATGAAAAAACTAAAATAAAAGAAAATACGTTTTGGACCCTTTGTAATTTCTCTAATTTTCTAATGAATAAAAAATATTAGTCTCAAATTTCTATGGGAGTATGCATACCATAATCAAGAGAAAATTCTAAATTTTTTAGGGACGATTCTGTAAATTTTGGGGTGATGTTTTTATAATTTTCTGAATCTGCTGGGGATGTTTCTGCAATTTTGAAGCTTCTTGATGGTATTTTTGCAATTTGCTTAAACGTATGGGGGTGATTCTGTAATTTTTTTGGGCCTTTTGAAGATATTTCTGTAATTTTAAAATTTTCTGGAGTGTTTTTGTAATTCTTTTGGGTGTTTTTTTTGTTAAACGCAAGAGGCAGCGATGAAATCGATCATGAGTCAATGATGAATAGTGCATACAAACAACGCGTGAACAGTACAAGTAAACAGTAACTTTTTTTCCGATGAACAATGTTGCTGAGATTTTTGTGATTTGTACGAATTGAAGTTGGACTCTAATACTAAATTGATGTAGACCGTATTAAGGAAGAATTTGGGATGAGAAAGGAATAAGAAAGGGATGAGAAAAGAAGAAAAAGAGGATGAGAAAAGAAGAAGAAAGGGATGAGAATAGAGAAAGAATTTTAGGAAGAAGCAATATCAAGATTCAATATTAATAATCAATAATTAAAGTCTAGTCTCACAGTAAGTATGTATCCCCTATATATATAAGGAGTTCACAAATCCTATATATATAAGATCTCAAACTCTAAAATAAATAAATAATCAAAATGACAACTAAACCCTTAAAGGTTAAAAGAAAATATTTAAAAGATAAATACTAAATTACTCTTATGATTAATCTAAAATACCTATCCAATTTCTATATGATCCTCATCACCATCAACCGTCGAATCCATCTTTTTCGGCCATGATTGTGATCATGACCTCTGTCCTTGAGATATGCAAACGTGCACTAAACCGTTTTTAACTGGTGGCTCGTGATGTTACGTCTCCCTGCTTCTCAAAATTCTTAGAGTCGTCCCACTTCCTTAACTGCCTAGTTAAGTATGGACTCTCATAGACTCTTTTATGACCATTGGATTGCTTTCACGTTTCACCCTCAAATTTTACTATTTTTTGGTGCAAATAGTATTAAAGTGAACGCGTGGGAATAATACACGTGGAATTTTATTTTTGTCTATTTCCTTTTTTATTCTTCTTTCAAAAAAGTAAAGAATCTTATGATCTTCCCTGCCATATCAGGTGCCACCATAACTGCCACACTTTAACAACTTTTTGGATTCTTCTCACATCACTAGATTATGAGTGTTGCCCTTACCTCCCATTCATCCTCTCATAATTGGCGTATTGTCCTTCCAACCCTGCATCGGATGTATTTAAGTAGATGGTCTTCAAATTTGACCCACCCTCTAGTAATCCTGTTGATGGTTGGGAATGTTTGTCCATCTATGCTCATAGAGTAGTTACTGATGGGGATTCAATGAATGCTATGGAAAATATTCATTTTTTTTCCCTTTACATTCCGTGGCCATTTTGTGCTGTCATGTAATTTTCCTTTTTCATTAAGGGGCAAGGTTGAAACCCCGACCCCCTCCTTTTCTCTTTGCTTCTTGTACTTCTTAGCCTTTATTACTAAAACTTGGCCCCAAAAAAAATGTAATTATGTGTTAGTAGTAAGCTGAAGCGGCATGTATGTTACGTGAGTCCAGTACTTTACTATTAGGGTAGCATGCCATGATCTATTTTGAACTCTACCTGAGTTATAAGCTCTGTTCGTTGTTAAAGTTTGCAACATTGATTCCCTTGTACAGGTTACAATGGCTTTGAGAGATGCAGGTCTGGAATCATCAAATCTTATTCTTGGAATAGATTTCACCAAAAGTAATGAATGGACAGGTTTGTGGAATTCAATAACAACTTTTCCCATTAAATTTCTGCAGTTCATTTTGGGTAGTGATTTGTGAAGTAAAATTGCTCCCTACTTCAAAATGTGTGACCCTCATAGTCTGTGGATGTAGCACAGTTATGGCATGGGGAGCCATGGTCCCCATGGGTTGTCGGAAACTCCATTGTTTGAAACACTATTTGATCAGTGACTTTTTCCCCTCTTGGTGAAGTGACCCCTGTTAGTTTCTTTTTTTGGCCAGGACTCCTCTCAGTCTTCAATTTCCACAAATATTGCATCCATCTCTTCATCACTTGGTACTCTTATGTAGAATTTTTCTTGGAACCTGGTAACCGGATAATTTAGTTTATCAGGACTGAAATATTTTTCCTAATTAGTTGGATTATAATTATGATGCCATGGCCACAGGGCCAATGGCCCGTGTTCATTGTGCGTGTTGCTTGATCAAAGAATAAACTTTGAACCGAGATACACATTTTAAAATCGAATTTCAACGTTTATAGCTGAGATGTCATTGGTTAGTCATTATAAATTTGTGTTGGTATCGTACTATTATAACGGTATTGCCATGGAAGCTAATGCATCAATGTTGTATCTAAAGGCAAATATTCGTTCAACAATCGGAGCCTGCATGCCATTGGTGATGAACCTAATCCTTATGAGAAAGCCATATCTATTATCGGAAAGACAATAGCTCCCTTTGATGAAGACAACTTAATTCCTTGTTTCGGTTTTGGTGATGGTAGGTTCGATTCCCTGGCAAATTTAGGTTTTGAAATTCTCTTCTCCCATATATTTTGTCTTTCTTGATAATGTAACTTTTCTTTTGGTTTGGATACCTTTTTTTTTTTAAATATAGCCACTACACATGACCAAGAAGTGTTTAGCTTTCATAGTGATCATTCTCCTTGCCATGGCTTTGAAGAAGTTAAAGCCTGCTATAATAAGTTAGTTCCAAACTTGCGTTTGTCAGGTATTCTTCTTCCTCCGAATTCTGATGGTAGGATTGCTTATTCATCAAGAATTCTACTTTTGTAATTTGGCCACGAGTGCTTCTAATTAGATGAACCTAGTATTATCTTGAATTATTTTGTCATCGAGCAAAGATACCTTCATAAATGCATGTGATTTGTTTAAGGGCCTACATCTTACGCACCGGTAGTTGATGCTGCAATAGACATAGTGGAGAAAAGTGGTGGACAATACCATGTTTTGGTTATCATAGCAGATGGCCAGGTCACATCTTTCTCTCCTCTCTTTCTCCCCACCTCTCTCTGTCTCTTTCACATACACACATAATAAATGCGCCCTCGTGAATGCTGGAAGCATGCTTGCATATACATTAGTTATACCAGATTAGTTGCTTTTGGATGAAGGTTACAAGAAGTGTCGATACAAGTGATAGGGAACTCAGCCCACAAGAAGAGAAAACAATCAACGCAATAGTCAATGCAAGGTACAGTCATGGAAACAAACTTTTTCTGGTTTATTTTGCTTCAAGCTTCCATCTACTAATTCAAGTTCCCTGTAACCTCATAATTCATGCTGATGATTCAGTGCTGATTGTTAATGTTATAATGGCTGTGGGTCACTGTTAAAGCCAGATGCTTCATTATGCAGGATGTTTAAAATGTCAAAATGATCTCAAATTTTACATTCTGGATATGGAGTTACCTCCTCTATAGTTACCTTTTTGGTAAATCGTTGTTAAAGCTAGAAAAACATCCTTCTCTTATGCTGATTTGTCTTCCTTCAAAGAATAGACAAGTTGATTTAAGGAGGATGGTTTGGAGGTATGGTGGGTGATGGGACAGAGGGATCTGGGAAGTGCCCTTTTATCAGTTTGTGGGGGGTATCATTGAGATGCAGAAATACATATAACTTCTTATAGAGGCCAGGCACTTGGTGGGGTAAGAAACCTTATTTCAGAGACACTGTACACCTTCTGTGTTGTGGATATTCAGGGTGGGAATATAGCTCTTTGTTGGTTTCAAGTCTATTGTGTAGTCCAAGACTTGATGGTTTTTTTTTCACTCCCTTGCAATAATGTCAAAGGTATGCACCCAACTACCTCTCCCCAAACTAGGTAATAATCATTATCTTCAAATAAAAAGCTCTCTCACATTTGTATTCGTTATTGGCCATAGTCACTGAAATGACAAACAACCACAACCCTTGTTTTACTGTTGTTTCTTTCTGTTCTTCTAATTTCTGCTGACATGTTGACACCACCAACATAGGATTGAATTCTTTTTAAGAAGCAGCTCGACTGTCATCTTTGGTCTTGTCCATAGCCACTTACATTACAAACCAGAAACTCCTGTTTTATTGGATTGCCTTTTCCTTTCAACAACATTTGTTCACATGGTGCAACAAAGCTGAGAAGTGATTTTCACTCAAATGGTCGCACTTAGATCTATGAGAAAAACATGAGACAATAGAGAAGTCACTAAAACAAAACTTTGTATAATTGTCTAATTCTTCCTGCTGAAGTTTTTGTAAAATGAAGTGGTCCCATTCTTGTCGGGACATAAAGCTCAGTCGAGTTTGAGTTCAACCAGTTCACAAAAAATAGTTATTTTTCTTGTGCAGTTTTCAATTTAATAATGGATACATGACAGACACAACTTAAGTACTGAGTTAAAATTTTTGCCATCTTGAATCAATTCAGCAGTAATTCGTGGTTTGATGTTTGCATTTTCTAACATTTAAGCTATTTACCCAAAAAAAAGTTATGTACCCACACAACATTTAGCACCACAAGTTACTGGGGTTGTGTTGAAATTTGTCTTGTTTGGTAGTTTAATGCAACAAGCAATCATGTGAATCATGATAGTTTTCTTTGTTTTCTTTTTTGAGATCAGTTTTTCTCCTCTCTCAATTGTTCTTGTTGGCGTCGGAGATGGACCATGGGAAGACATGAAAAAATTTGATGACAAGATCCCTGCTCGCGACTTCGACAATTTTCAGGTAGCACCACAACAACTGTAGCTAATTCAACTAGGTACTGTTATGGTTCAGCAATTGATGACCCTTTGGCTGTTTATCTGTGTACAGTTCGTTAATTTTACTGCTATTATGTCAAAAGAAACAACTCCCTCTGAGAAGGAAGCTGCATTTGCTCTAGCTGCACTAATGGAGATCCCTATCCAGTATAAAGCAACTACTGAACTTGGTCTATTAGGGTATGTAGCACTTCGTTTCTTAGTTTTCTTGACCTTACAATTTAGATATCCAATGATGACTCAAGTTTAGTTGTTCCTCATGTGGGAAATTAGGTTTTTGTAAAGAAGAAACTAAAACTACCAAACACACTGCAGTCATTGCAATTGTTCTTCAAAGTGATTTAGAAAACGTATATTTGATGTTCCATATTTTGATATGTTATTCCTCGATGTAATCATTATAAGTTTAACATACAACTGGCCCATTTTCTCCTCCAAGTATTTATTTTTATGTCTGAAATGAGAAAGACTTCAATGTTTTAGATGCCCTTAACCCAGTTACAAATTTAGCATGAAACCGTTATATGGACTTGATTAAGCATGCTTGCTCAATTAACATCTTTTTTTAATCGCGTTGGACAAAGACGTGTGACGGGAAAAGTAAGGAAGATAGTTACGCGCCCTCCTCCAGTTCCGTATGCTCATCGTCCAGCATTCCCAGTTCGAGAATTAAGCAACAGTTCAACAGCTGCTCAAGATGAACGAAACCAGGTAAGGAGCATTAAGTATAGATTCAAGTGCAGGTCAAATTATCCACGATTCCATGCCATGATTATTTTATGGATATGGCTTTCTCTTGGAAATGCTGCTGAACCAACTCATGCTTCCGGGTTTTTAATCCATTTACTTTTCAGAACAAGAAGTTGTTTTCTCAAATGCTGATGATGTTTCTTTTTTGCCCTTTTCCCCTGAATAAGGTCTGCCCAATTTGCCTGAGTAACGGGAAGGATATGGCCTTTGGGTGTGGACACATGGTGAGGAGCACGCACCAATTTTAAATTACAGTTTATTTTTGCGCTTATTTGAATGTCATCAGCATTTTGAGTGTTAATTAATTGATTGCAGACTTGTAAAGAATGTGGCACAAGATTGTCCAACTGTCCCATATGCCGCCAGCAGATTAGCAGCCGTCTCAGGGTGTATAGTGGATGACCGACAGTTCCCGGAGTTGTTAATATGCACAAACGTTTTGCCTGTTGTTTATTGAGGATGATCTGCTTCCTAGTAGTGAGAAGACTTGAAGCAGAGTTGCCTCTGCTTTATTGACATAGTTTCTTACCTGTCAAACGTTGTCCTTCAAAATCCGGCATTGTACAAATTCAACTATGTTAAATACCCATCTACAATATACGATTCACAGAAGAGTACGCACAATCTTGCTGTGAGATCATATATTGTCTAATTTAGCAGTGGCTTTTTAGAACGGAATATCTCCACCTTCAAAGGGCTTTGAGGTAGTATGGCATACAACCACTCACGGTTTTGTGTTGATTCCGCAGGCAGCTACTCCATCGCGTCTCGCTGCAGCTTCCCAATTCCCAATAGATCTCTATAGATATATATTATTTTTAACTTCATAAACAGGATTGAACATAAAAAAAAGTCTCTTGGCATCATATTCTGTTTTGCCTATAGACAATTATGTAAGCGAGAAAAGGAAGGTGGTGTTTGGTGACACAAGGAGATATCACAGTTCAGTTCAGAGATAACAGGTTGGAGGGATGCAAACGTGGCATTGAGGATAGTCATTATTTGTGTTAGAACATAGCTTTGATACTACTAGTTAGTTTTGCATATCCTTTCAGTACACCATACCTCATATGAGCAAGTAAGACGCGAGCAAAGGTCCACCCAAGGCGCATGTTTTTAAAAGATAGAATTGTGGTGACTCCAAGTTTGAACGTGGTGTGCTAAGCCTGATGTTGGGCATAACCAAATTTGAAGAGAAGAGTCCTAAAACATCACTGATAGGTTTATTAGTGACCTAATTAAATAGGAAATAAATTGGAGGTATAATGTACCTTCCTTTGTCAAATTAGAGGTATAGTCATTTTCTTTTGTCAAATTTGGCAACCTAATACATTCCGTACAGCTAGTTATACAACCAGACGGGTTGGTCTCTTCTAACAGGTTCATTCAAGCATCGCTCTCAACCCAGCAAATGAGTAGCCACATACATCTTAAGGGAGGCCTTTCTAACTTTTTGTTCCTCCATTGTTGAAATAAAAACATTTGTTCCTCGATTCTTTACAAGACCCTCAATCAAATGCCGAAGGTTTAAAAACCTAAACCAACTAAAAAAATGAGAATTCTATTAACCATTATGATGAACTAGGCCGGGAATCTTCTCATGACAGCAGTACTAGTTTGGAAATATCTCGAGCAACAAAAAAGTAAATATGTCGCATAGTATCAGAACATACTCATTCTTCTTCCGCTCAAAATAGAAATGTTGACATCTACCGCTGACTACTGCTCTATTTCTAATCTTTTTTAATTTCAGTGTTGCTCTGCTTTGGTACTGGTTGAATTCTCACGTATGGGTTTCTTGTCAACGTCTCCCCTCTTAAAGCAGCAACATATCTGTCATTTGTATCCTCTTTCCTCTGCAGTTCCCCAAGGTATTCAGCCAGCCTCTCTCTATTAACTTTCCCCATCATCTATTTCACAATTCCAAGAAAAGCATCATCTGTCAGGATTTTTCCCACTCAAAACAAGGAACTCAGGACCAAAAGGAGGAGAAGAAAACAAAGACCATTACAAAACTGAAGCCATTTAATATTGAGTGAATTCAATCATCTCTGATACCAAGTTACAATACATAATATGAGCACAACGTATGAATTACATCCACTAATCAGATAAGAAATCTACAAGGAAGCAAACAGAAGCAGATCAATGAAAACTACACAAACAAAAAAATGACAGAACAATATACTGACTCAAATCAGTACCATTCATTAATATTATGAGCTCAGGTGAAAACATAGTCATCACATACCATCTATCGTCCTCGATTCTTGTGTTGTTGATAAAAAGGATTGTGAGAGGCAGATACATCAAATTATAAATGAGTTGACTAATTTTTGTTCCCTTCCTAAGTTTCTGTAGCGGAAGTTCTCCCCTCTCATGAATTCAAGAAAACTGATTATGATGCATTACTTATGCTGTAGTTTTCCTCGTGGGTTGGCATTTCTCTTATTGGATAAGCTCCTAAACAAGGCATGGATGCAGGCATTGCATTAGAGATCTATGAGGAGGAGAGCCACAAAACAATATGACTTATATTCAACCAGAATACATGGCATGAACTATCTACAAAAAAAATGGTACGCACATTACAAGGAAAGAGTGGCCACACTACAACATCAACAGATGAACATACCACTGAACATTAGAAGCATAGGCAACAGAACAGAATGAAGAAGCTGGAAAGTTAGATGAAACTGTATAGAAGAATCACACAGGCAATTTTCTTAAAAAAGGAAGCAGACATGAATTAGTTGAATCTGGTAGAAAAATATACCAATTTGACTGGTTGCCAGAGAAATGAAACTCAAAAATGAAACACGAGTGTAGGAAAATGTTGAAAAAAATTGTCACAAATGCTGATAAATCATGGCTGGAAAAAGGATTCAAAACCATTAGAACAAAGAAGAGATTCAGTAATGATCATCACCAATAATATTTTCACATGTATCTCCATATGGTTTTTGAATTGTACTTAAATATCTCACTTAAATTTCCCCCAGTTTTCTAATGGCTGTAAAACCAAATTTGAGCACTAAAAATTATATTTACTTACAACTATGCCCTTGGATGGGATGCCAAATTACTCATTTGCAACCTTGAACAGTATTTTAGCACATTTGAATTATAAATCTGCTCTAATGGCAGGTGCCAAAATAGGGTGCTATTTTCATATTTTTATTCATCAATCTATATGAATCGTTGGATCAATATTCATCAACTCATTTGCAATCTTTCCCTTTATCTCTCTAGAGTTGCCAAAAATGCCACCCCAAGAACCTGGATGCTATTTTCCAATCCCATATGCCACTCCCCTTGGAACCCAAAATTTTGAATTTGGGATGGCATATGGGGTTGCCACCCCCATATGCCACCCCCCTTGGAGTTGCCATTTTGGGGTGCCAAACTACTCATTTGCAACCTTGAACAGTATTTTAACACCCTTGAATTATAAATCTGCTGCAATGGCAGGTGTTAAAATGAGGTGCTATTTTCATATTTTTATTCATCAATCTATACGAATTGTTGGATCCATATTCATCTAACGGATCTATATTCATCAATTCATTTATAACCTCTCCCTTTCTCTCTCCAGAGTTGTCAAAAATGCCACCCCAAAGGTCTTGATGCTATTTTCCAACCTCATATGCCACCCCACCCCCTTTGGAGCTCAATATTTTGAATTTGGGGTGGCATATGGGGTTGCCACCCCCATATGCCACCCTCTTTGGAGTTGCTCTTAAACTTATAGACAATCAAATCCTTTTCCTACAGAGTATAGCCGAATCCACGTAAATTATCGCACCTTCTTACTGCTGATTGTGGAACCTTCACATCGAATCAATCATTCCATATTTTCCATGCAATAATTTATATAAAGTATTTGACTACATTTGCACATCATCTTCTACTAAATAATAGGCATTGAGTTGCATCAGTTGCTGATGCCCAGTGTCATACTCACCCTTTAATCTCATTTGTTGCATCACGTGACATTGCCATAGGTATGAGAAAATATAGAGAATCAAGTTTTTGCTGATTAATTTGGATGACAAAAGAATAATTTTATGACGGATTTTTCGTTAAAAAAAAAAAAAACCCCACTTATAAGGAGGCCTCTAAACTTTGATGCTGGGACTGTATATGTTAACATCTTGTATGTTATGGGTAAACAATGGAATGTAATGACGGTTGGCTTCTTTTGGTGAAATTCAACGAGGGGACAAGTGAAGTGCTGAAGTCTATATTAAGTGGCAGCATCCTAAGTATATGTTGGATAAATGGAAATCACATAAGGCGTTAGCACAGATGAGCAGTCAACAATTGTAAAGTTTAAGTCACACGTGCCCACTCCAAAGGTCCGTCTCATTGATGGCTAAAAAGAATAAAGGTGAACTAAGGTTATGTTACACTAACTTGGAAGCAGTTAAGTGGAACCCTGGGCACTTTTCCTGTTTTCTTATTCTTAGAAACAGAAAAGGGTAATTGAGGGTTTTTCTTTTGTTTCTTTTTGGAGGGGTCCGGCTCATCTGCTGTTAGCAAAAAACAGCACACTGTGCTGTTAAATGAAACGTTGCCGTTTCATCCATTTAAAGTGAAACGATAGCGCTTTGTTCTTAAGCACTCTCTGCTTCCATCTGGGTCTCAGCACTCTCCTCTCCTGCCTCACTTGCTGACTGAGTTGCTTCCAGTTCCTACAATCCCTTCACTGTGCCCATCCACTTTTCTTCTTTCCCCCTATAAGGCTTTGCTCCAATTGTAATGTCCACCGCCTTCATTCTCTGCAATAAGCTCCTTCAGCCTTTCCTCTTGTTGCAATCATAAGACCTCCGATTTGTGTTTCCTCTGCCAAGTGCCTTCTCTGCGCTCTTTAGACGAACTCCGCACATTCGGGGCCCATTTCTCTCGTTCTCTTTCATAATTTTACTAATGTCTTTCGATAAAATTCCCTCCCTAGGAAATTTGAACGTGTTATATTGTATCATTTAAAACCCTATCAACACCCACAATCTCCATCTATAACACATTCAACAACTGCAATATGTCTCTTTCTGCAAGCTTCTTCTCTGAAAATCAGGCAAGTAAGAGAGATGGTAGATCTTGTTGATTGGGTGCTTAGTCGTTGGCACCCACCATTTTGATTTTAACCAGAAATTTGTAGTAAAATTTAACAGAGAGAGAGAGAGAGAGATAATCATGGGTCTTGAGTGTGCAGAGAGATTGTGCAAGAGGGTGCAGAGAAAAGACTTCCCTTTTGGGTCTAAATTCGCCATTTATTGATATCAAACATACATATAAATTTGAACGGAGGGATAATTTTCATCGACTGCCAAACTACAAACAGTAAGATCATGATCAGTGTCTTTTAGGCCCTTTCACCATCTGCTTCAACACCTGAACTTCCCCATTATTGACCATGAGACCTTTTCAAAGAGAGAAGCCTCCATGTTTTGGAGAGGGAACCTCCCTCCTGATCCGCACCTCAGATACAGGCTTTGAGCACTTGTTTTGGGGGATTTGTTTTCCTGTGCAAAACTAACTAAAGCATCGGCGTTTTAATTAACAGCATACCATGCTGTTTTTTCCTCACAGCAGATGAGCTGCCTATCGAATTAAGTGAAATTTACACAAACGTAAACACATAGTGAGCAATATAATAAGGAATTCTTCAAAAACATTGAAGTCGTAATGATTTGTTGCCGAAATAAGTAACAGAAGATCAGATCTATCCATCTAAGTAAATGATAAGGAGAGATTAGTAAGACATACAGAAAACAGGAGAAGTAAATATTTAAGAGTAACGTACAAGGGAATCGGGACGAGCGGTGTGGCGGAGTTGGGTTTCGAGCTGTTGATTGTGGGAGTTGGTGAACTGCATGACCCCGTAGCCTATGAGTCCAGGTACGACACCGCATACGGTAGCGAAAGCAAAGAAGAAAGGCTTCGAGTCCCTTGTCTTCCTCACCATCCACCTCCACGTCTCGCTCTTCTCCCACAGGATCGACATGCTCTCTCTCTTTCTAGAAATGAATGCTTTTCGTTCTTCCTCCCAAATCCCAATTACATTTGCGGCATAGATAGAGACAGGGCAACAGTCATGACATATGGACTTCGTCTTTGGTTACTGTTCTGTCGGGACAAGCCCCTTCCTTCATTTGGGTTTGGTATTCGCAACAAGCCAGCCCACTTCCCTTGAAAAGGCTGGCTATTCATTAGCCCACCAAGCCCATTCTCCTCCATCAATTTTTTTTTTTTTTTTGCAGAAATCCTTAAGCATATGGTTCTGTCTTTTAATAACAGATTTTTAAATATTATGACATAACTTATGAAAACCTTTACTTCAACCAGCCTTTAAATTATTCGAAATGGTTTTTGGCTTTTAAAGAAGCTATCCAATAACCAAAATTCAAATGTGTGCACAGAATAACCAAAATTGAAGTTGTACAATAGGTTGTTCACCCTAGAAGAAAGGAAAGAAATTGCCAGCCAACATGAAATAAGTGTTTTTTTCTGTGCTCAAGGATGGTTCATTAATATTAGGTAAAAGACATTGTGTACCTGACAATATGGATTTGAATGGTGAAATCCTTGGAGAAGCTCATAACACTGGATATACGGTGCAAAGATGTATAGAGACTTGAGAGAGAACTTCTTGTGGAATAATATAAAGAGAGAGATTGCTGAGTATTTTCACATTGTTTAGTGTGTCAACAGGTGAAAGCATAACACCAAAGACCGGTAGAATAGCTACAATCCTTCCCTATTCCTGAGTGAAAATGAGAGCATATTATTATAGATTTCGTGATAGGTCTGCCAAGGACCCCCAGTGAAAACAATACAGTTTGGGTAATTGTAGACCGATTGACCAAATCAACTCACTTTTTAGCAATTACATAGGGAAATCATTTGAAAATTAGCGGTAGTATATATCAGAAAGATCATAAGGCTGCATGGGATTCCAGTTACCATTGTCTCGGACATGGATAATAGGTTTGTGTTCTGATTTTGGCTAAGTCTATATAAGGAGTTGGGAACTAGGTTGAGTTTCAATACTACATTTCATCCTCAAATTGATGGTCAGTCAAAGAGGACTATTCAGATGTTAAAGAAAATGATAAGAGCTTGTGTTTTTGGACTTGCGAGGAGCATGTGATGATCATTTATCCTTAATTTGCCTACAATAATAGTTATCAAGCTAGTATTAGAATGGCTGCGTATGACGTTTTGTATGGGAAGAAGTGTAGGTCTCCTATTTGATGGATGATGTCAGTGAGAGAAAATTAGTGGGACCTGAAGTAGTACAATAGACGATGGATAAGATCTAATTAATTTGAGAGTGGCTCTGCATAACTCAAAGTAGGCAGTAGATGTCAGGAGATAGAAGTTGAAATTTCAGGTGGGTGACCACGTATTCCTTAAGGTATCCCCCATAAAGAGAGTAATGAGGTTTGACATTTGGGGTAAGCTTAGCCCTAGGTTTGTAGGTCCATTTGAGATTTGGGATAGGGTGGAAGAGGTGGCATATAAAGTTGCATTACTGCCGAACTTAGCAGGAACACATAATGTTTTCCATGTATTGATGTTGAGAAAGTACATTGCGTATCCTAACCACGTGATAGAGTATGAACCTTTGCAACTTAGAGACAGTTTAACTTATGAAGAACAACCCATGCACATAGTGGATAGGAAGGAGCAAGTATTAAGGGATCATACTTTTTATTATATTAAGATCCAATGGCATAATCACTCCGAGAGAGTACCTACATGAGAACTCGAAGATGAGGTTGGATTGAGATACCCTTAACTCTTCGTCAATGCAAGTATGTCAAGCTTAGAGGACTAAACTTATTTTAAGAGGGTAGAATGTAATAATCGACTATTTATTAAAAGGATATTAAGTATAAATAATAATAATTAATAGGGACAAAAAGAGAATGACAAAATATAAACCCACCCAATAGGGTTGTCATTATATAGCTTAACAACTATGCATACTAGAGGTAATACTTCTATATCCTGCCACATATATCAGATAAGGGAAAAGAGAGAAGAGGCGGCTAAGGTTAGAAAGGAAAATCGAGAAGCTAAAGAACAAGGAAAACAATCAACTAATAAGGTAAGATTTATGATCTTTAGTTACTAGTGTCGGTGTGTTTATATTTGTGCATATATGATTGTTGTGAAGTGTTTCATGGAAAAGAATAATGGGTGTACTCTATACCATGAAAAAGGAATGAATATGGTCTACTGTACTCGGTGGGCATGCAAATTGTGTATATGGCAAGGGGTGGTATGTTTATTCTTTTGGGGGTGTTAACTCTAAATATGGTGCCATTTTGGGATAGTTCATGTAAAAGTTCTTCAAATCTGTAGGATATATTGTATTTGTACATGATGACAAAAAGAGGACAACCTTTCTCAACTTGTTTCACCATGTTTGGTGGATGGTGGGTCAGGATTGTCATGCACCTGAGCCAATACTTGGGTTTGGGGCGTGACAATTTATTTGGTATCAGAGCAATAGGTTTTGATTTTAGGGCCATGAAGATGCCTAGCATTGGACAAGATAGACATTTTTGGGGGTTTATGAACCTTATTCTGTTGGCCTTATTATCTTGTCGTGATGCTAGAGGTAATATTGATAACTTTGATGTCACTTTTAATTATTGTAGGTGAAAATGCCGCCTCGTAAGAAGACAGTTGGGTACATTGTAACTGGTTCCAAAGCTGTTGTGCCTCGAAAATAACAAACTAGAAATACCACACCACAAGGTACTAGTAGGGTCAATCTAGGAGAACAACAACAAAAAAAGCTAGGGGTCAACTGATACATAGTGGAGGAATCATTGAGTTCAAGAAATTGAACCCACCATCTTTCATGGGAACTATCGACCCCTCAGAGGCGAAAGAATGGATTCAAGAAATGAAAAAGGCATTGGGTGCACCGACAATGAGAAGGTGTTCTATGCATCATATATGCTACAAGGGAGTGTATATGATATGACTAGTGGCTCATGGAGAAACGAACATATGGGCTAGATTCAGAGCTCTATACCTAAGAGATGTTCAAGGATGCCTTCGATGCAAAATATTTTCCAAGAGTGTTAGGTTGAAAAAATAGAGGGAGTTCACCAAATTGGAGCAAGAGAGTATGATTGTAGCACAGTATAAGACCGAGTTTGCTAAGCTAGCCAAGTTTTTAGGTGCTTAGGTTGAGAGTGACGAGAGTCGGGATCAGAGGTTTGAGGAGGGACTGAGGCCCCACATTCGACAAGGGGTGATACCTTTCAAGCTTTCTACATATGGAGAGATAGTGAAAAAAGCTCTACTTGTTGAACATAGCCTAAATGATTCTAAAAAAGATCAGGAGGATAACTAAAGGAAGAGGGAAAGGTCGAGACAAGTACAAGGTGGTCCGAGAATAAGGGGACAAGCTCAGAGACATGGGACTCTGTGCACCGGCAGTGGTAACTAACTCGGAAGGAATAATCAATGTCCCAAATGTGGGGGAAATTATGAGGAGCCAAACTCGAGAGTAACTTCTCAGTCCTAATCTTCTCATACTACTTCATCTTCTTCTATAACTCAGCAAAATCCAATTTACTTACTCTCATTTTTTTTGTAATTTGATCTCGTTAAAGCTCGATTCAATGAACTATATCCAATGGCAGTTTCAAGTTACAGCTCTTCTCAGAGCTTATTATCTCTTAGGATTCATTGATGGATCTTTAAGCTGTCTAGAAAAATTTACTAAAGATGAGAAAAGTTCAATAACTTCAGAGATCAATCCAGCTTACAATACTTGGATGACTCGGGACCAAGCTCTCATGGCACTACCCAACACAACCTTTCCACAACAGCTTTATCCCACATTATAGACTACAATTCATCAAGAGATATTTGGTGAGCCCTAAAGCGAAGGTATTCTTCCATCTCTCGATCAATCATTTTGCAATTGAAGTCATAATTATATTTTGTCAACAAAGAAAACACCTCAGTTGATAGCTACATTCAGAAAACTGAAGAAGTGATAGATAAACTTAAAGTTGCTTCAGTAAAAATTGATGATGAGGATATCATCATATACACTTTGAGTGGATTGTCATCTGAGTACAATCCATTAAAAACCTCCATATGCACTAGATTTGAACTGATAACATAGAGGAACTCCATGTTCTTCTCAAAGGATAAGAAATGTCTTTAACAACAGACATTAATTAGAACAAAACTCAAATACATTCTTACTGCTATAATTGCTCTAGTTACAAACAATACTACTGCTATGGCTACAAACTACATGAACATTGGAGATAAGGGAAGAGGATGAAACTCATATGAAAGAAATCACGGAAGAGGAGGAAATAGAGGAGGAAGTAGATCGAATTCCTAGAGTAAGTACAATTTTCAATCGTTCCCAAACAATCAACCTGGACATCAAACCAATAATCCTTTTCCAAAGCAACCATATTTTTTCAATCCCACACAAAGGTGTATAAGGCAGATTTCAGTGCCAAATTTGCAACAGACCAGTCCATTCACACTGTTATCATCGCAAGTGCTTATGTCATGCACAGCATCTAATCAGATATATTTGAATATATTTAGTTATTTACCATGCGGTAATAGCCATGTTGCCAATTTTTTTATAATTAGTGCCAAGGTTTTTGATTGTGTACTGAGTTACATAGGATGGTATTGATGTGTTTTACATATTTTGCATGTAGTAGGAATTGAAAGCCTAAGCAGTATACAAGGAATGGTGGTAACCCATATGTTCCTCTTCTAGTAGAATTTTGATGAGAACTCCTTTCTGCTTTATATGGTCCATTTGGGGGAAAATATTTTTGGAAAAATGGACTTAAACAAATCATTTAAGCAACTTGAGGCTTAAATAAAAGTGGGACCTGCACATCAAAATTGGTGGGATCTAGTTTAAACGTATTCTCTTTTGCAAGAAGATTAACGTGTTATATTTATTTATCCAAAACCATTAAAATTTTAATGAAAAATTATGTCTCAAAATGACTTATTTAAAGTGATGAAATAAACTAAAATTAGTATAGTAAAATAAGGTTTTTCCCACATTAGAATAAGACTAACATTTTGGTGAATTAATATACTTCTAGTTGACTTCATGAGTTGGGCCCCAAGAAGTACCACAATTTTGTGAGTACTGCGAGCACCAACACTACCTTAATTATCATACGTGCATGTCGCCTGCCCAACTTGCGGGGTTCGGGCTTGGGCTAAAAAAGTATAATTTTTTTGACAAAATTTATTTGGAGTGATTTAGGTCATGGGTTAAACAAATCGGATCCGAACGTAGATCGAATTAAAATCCCAATCGAAATTTAAATCCAACCAAATTTTAAATTTCTTCCTGTTATTTTGAACTTGGCGCCAAGAAGGAGTTTGGTTCATTTCAAAGAGCCTATTCATTCTAGGAGGTGTCTCTTGCCTGTTAAAATTAAAGAGTGTATCTCTTCAATCTAAGCAGTGTCATTCCATGTCTCTTAAGGCGATCTGAACAGCCACTAAGAGTCTATATATAGACTACCTCATTGTCATTTCAATTCATCCCAATTCTGAATTTCAGTTTCAGAATTTCTTCTCTCTTTCTCTTTCTCTCTCTCTGTATATTGTTGTATTATTCTTTTGGTTTGGTTCAAGTATAAACACAAGTTGTGTTCGTTGCAATCTTGAAAATTAAAGTGTTGTTTTTTCAAGAATGTAAAATTTGTTCTATTTTGGGAGACAGTTGCTCATCAATCTTGAGCACCGAGAGAGAGAGAGCAAATTTGTCTTAAGGAGATTGTGTTTCTCAAGGCAAAGATTATCTATTTTGGTTTTTTTATTAATTGTTTGTGCAGATATGCATCCCTGTGAATGCACTGTTTTCGATTTTTATATATTTTGTTTAGATTAGTGTATAAGTTAAACTTTATACAGTTTAATATAATCTAATATATACATATTTTTTATAACAAAAAATAGTAGGTAGGAAAACAAGGTGCTCAAGCGAAAGAGCCTCATAATGTCTCTTTTAGCCTTTTTACCAAGAATATTCCTTTTGGTTAATATAGTTGGATGGACTTATTGGAGAAATGTTTTTGGGTGTAACAAGAAAGTTGAGTTCTTGAATACTCCTTATGTGCTTGGGTAGCATCTCCTGTTTGCCACCTATAATGAATTTTTGATTTGTAAAAACGAATACTATTTTTTGATTTCACATACATTTACTTGCTTGTTCCTTTCCTTTTTATGGCTACACTTAATTGCTAGTTAACAGTCTCTTCTTTTGAAAATTTGTCTAACAACTCCAGAATTAGGCAATGAGAGGGTCTTGAATCTTGAGACTATGGCGAAAGTCCGTTCAAGTGTGGCCATGTAGGATTTGCAAAGTGATAACTGACCACTGAGATATTTTCCCACTTTTCGATAGCAATATGGTTAATCTAATATTAATTGTGTGTTGATTAATTAGTTCTTTGCATTGCACAATAGGGGAAGGAGATCATGTTGTGTAATTATAATGACATTTTTTTTATACTAACTCAAAATAGTCCACGTGAAACGCATGTGTGCACCTACTAGCGTCCAAAGTTTATTGAACTTGCTTGATTTAGTGAGTGACTTTTCCCTTATGCTATTCAATTATTTGTGGATGCATGATATTCAAATTCAAAACTACATACACAAGCAAGCACACCACGAAGCTTCTTACCCACCCTAAGCAATAGAAGACTTCCTACAAAGTTTTTTTTACCTTTGTTCAATCTTAACTTTATACATGAATGTCTCATTGGGAAATGTGATAACGAGTTGGACTTGAACCAACACTTGCGGACAAATTATATCCATCTTTATACTGATGATCGTGATTTTTGGTGGCTAGGATCATCCTGGCTGTTAGAGAGGAAGCCAAACTAGCCTATTAAGGGCAACTAAGCTAATATGCACTGGAGAAAGCCAAGTGTCGTAGGTGAGCTCTATTCGGCCTCTTCATTGCTTCATCACCTGTTAGACATCTCAACAGAACTCTCGGTAAGCCTCTTTTGAATAGCTTATCATCATTCACGATTTACCTTTTAGTCATCTTCTTTAGCTTATTCACTTCATATCTATCATCCAATATAATTACTTTTGTCAGGTAATCGATATATGGTTGTATTCAATCCACTACATCACTAAATGTACATTCTGCTTTATCGGGCATCTTTGTGCATTGTAGACAAACCTCTTCTTTAGTTTTTGTATTCCATGATGGCTTATTGCTGATCATTAAGTGAAAGCCGCAATCTTGTCGAGAGAACTATCTTCTCTTGTTGGCTGAATTTGTGGTTGTTTAGGGTGGTAGTAATTGATGATACACAAAAGTGAATTTATGCACCACCTAACAAATATTTAATGCAGTTGTAAATAATGAGAGACAGTACAAGCAAAACACAGTTTAAATGGTTTGGTCAAAGTGACTTATTCCACAGTGAAGGGCTATGATGACTTGAATGTTTTATTGCTTCAAGGAGTGTTGGGTGCTCAAGTTTGAGTAATATGTAAGATACCCCTTATGTGTAAGTGGGGCTTACAATTTATAAGTATCTCATAACAAATTGAGGCGCCCTTCTCGTATCAGGTGAGGTAGTTTAGTGGAGGTGGCTCCATCCTTACAACATATGAGGCAGTTGCAGAGAAGGCATCAAGATCTCCCAAAGACCAAGTCTTAGGATGACATGACTAACTTCTTCACTTCAAGATGGCATCGTTGACTGGGCTCTGGTGAGCTTGCCTAGATCTGAGTTTCTTCTTGGCCAGATCCACTGGGCCTTGTTTGGGCCGGACGGCCTGGACCCATTATTTGAGTTAAGCTTGAACTAGGATGGGCCCATTACCCGAGTTGGGCCTTGGGCCGGGCCCATCAGTAATTTTGAAGAATAGCAGCTAAGAATTGTGATATCAAAGGAATTAGGCGACAATAGTTACCAGGATACTGTCACCTTACGGGCATGCTTCTGTGTACTTGTCATGACCTCTATACCACACTAAGCAACAGGGGCAGAAACGGTTTTATTTGAGAAAAAGGGGAGGGGGAATATGAATATAAAATTTATCCTCTCACAATAAAAGAAAAAAACTAGGGTTGTTGTATTGAAATGCTCAAAAAATTATGGGGCCATGCTACAGATGATGATCTCAATCACAGTATATCTATCTGAAGTGGGATGAATGACAGTGGTAATACGTATGTGTAAGGAGCAATGCACGTACGTACGATTCAGCTTCACCACCCCAATGGAGAGTTTCTTCCTTGTGGCATGGTATTAGTGTTAGTTAATATATCACAGGATTCATTCGGTTCGGTCGGTTGAAATTAAAGTAGTGCTCTTCGTGGTGATCAGGGCCTTTCAAGCTTTGCAGATGCATCAAATTTCTTTCTTGTCAGACAAAGCTAGCAATAGCATGCATAACCTGCTAAATTTGGCTTTGTTATCATAAAACCACCATGTCCGACTCCGATACACAATCGATATCAATTGCCCCTGTCAATAGATAGCACTGCTACTGCAATGTGAATCTTTTGATCATCTAGAGAGAAGCCGAGGCAAGAAATCATCATCATCATCATCATCAGGGGATGATATTTCCATTTTTGGGTGAAGTCCGAGTTGCACATCCCCACCATATATGTTGTTGATGTTGAGGTGCTTCTGATCTATAGATGAAAAGTTGAAAGGAGGGCCAAAATCTTTCATGATGTCAGGAACTAGTTGATTTCCAATATTAATGTCCAGTGTGTAGCATCCTCCTGAAGCCATGTTTTCACCGGCAAGCGTTTCACAAGCTTCCAGTATACTCTGCATGTATTTTCCTTGAGCCTCAATTCTCAACTGAAGGTGTCTCTGTACCTATATACATAGAGGAATTCTCTCACAGACCCTTACTTCGCTCTAAATCAGTACTTTAGACGATTATGACAGCAACAACAACAACAAAAAAATGTGTAGAGCGGAGTTCTTTATTAATTAATTAGAAGCGTGCAGTTTGAGGAGGAGCTTAATTACCTCTAATTGTTCGTGCAGTCTTCTATTCATCTCCATTTGCATCCTAATATATAATTGCATCAGTAATGTGAATATATATTACTGTCATTCAATCATACATACCATACCATTCCACAAGAAAAATCAAAACCCCCCAAAGAATTAAAAGAAGAAAAAAACATAAAAGTCAATATTAGACATGACAAGAAGCGAGAAGAAACAACACACACGCAGAAAATGAAGAGAAAAAGGAGAAAACATACATAGAATCAAAAGCTAAAAATTGAGGCGACTACTAGTACATACTCATTCATACAACGGCCTGTCATTGCAGAGGATGATGGAGTATTTCTCTGAAAATCCAAAGCTGAAGCTGCCATGCATGCATGAAGATGAACGGCATAAATATGATAAATTTTGCAGACTAAATTATGCCGTCGAATAGGAAAACTAACAACCCTAGTTAGAAAATGTCTCCTTTCTCACCATCTTTAATTGAGTGATCACTGAATTCCTTGTGAGGCTGCTTTCCGAGCCTGAATTTCTAATCAATCAGAAATAAAAAAGACACAGAAAACGGATCAAACCAACCAAACCTATATCATATAAACGCCACCAACGTGCAATTACAAGGTAAAAGACGCAAGAAGCATGTCTTCTAATCCAAACCTGAAGATGGCTCTTGAGATGGTAAAGAGTGAGACCCTTGACACCCATAACTCTCATGATGGTCTTTGGTGTGGCCTCTACACATAGGGAAGAAGGATGAGCAAGAATTAAATGAGAAGAATGGAATGGAACACAAGAAAAAATAGAAAATAACGAAAATTAAAGGAGACAAAATAATACTATCTGATCCCCCAAGCTGAGTAACAGCATCAACAAAGCGTTCATGAAGCTCGACGGTCCATCGGAGGCGGGGTTTTGGGTCTGTGGTGAGAACAAGTCCGGAGTCTCCTTCAACGCACATGGGTCTGTCATGTGAATTCGTTGTTGATGGCTTCTTGAGATGGAACATTCTCTCTCTCTCTCTCAGCTGCTTTGGAATACGAAGCGATTCTAGAACAAATGCGGTCCAAATAGGGAGGAGAGGAACAGGGTGCTCTTCTGCAGAAGAGAATGGCTTCGGCTATTGTCCTCAAATAGCTAGAAAGCTCGATCGGTGGACAAACTAAAACTGTACAAAAGACGTAATAAAAACAAAAAATACAGAATAAAAAAAATGATAAAGTAGTGCGCAGCACTTCCTTTACAAAAAGAAAGTCCTCTCCTAGTTGTAGTTGAGCTTATACGTGACTACTTGAGGAAAGAGTAGTGTATATCAATCTTGATCATATGGGAGTGCATCTTTTGTTATCAAAGGAAAAGGAGATATCGAGTGTATCTTTGTAGTTGTAGCGTTATTCTTCTACCTTGGGAAGCACATTTAGGATTAAGATGTGAGGGGAACTCGTCAAGCAATCATGGTGGCCAAGATGTTATGTAATGTATGTATGTAACACTTTATCCACCACTAGCTGGCTGGACCATAACATGCATGTGTCAGCACTTCTACTCTCATGCCATCAACATACGCGCACAGGAACATACACACATACTCAAATAAAAGAAGAAGAAAAATTAAAATCATATGAGTAATGCTACACTGATCAAATTTTAAAGTTCAAATGACATAGCAACTGACTTGAACTTTTTTATTTGGTACCATGTCATTTGGACCCCAATAAAGATTCAAAGTCATTTAGTTCTAAAATTTGGTTAGCATAACATTACTGTTACTGAAATTGTATTCATCCAATTTCGACCGTATTCACCCAACTTCGACAGCAGGGAATAAATGCTTTCGTCTTTGACAATCAAAGGAATATTCTTTTCTCAAACAGTTAAAACTTGTTAATTTTGACTTTATATCCGAGGAATCTTAGTGATAGTTAATAAGATTAAGGGTGACCAACTGGGCTTTAATTATATTCTATATATCTTGTCTTGGTTAATGTACGTACGTACGTAGTAGAATAATCATGGTTAATTAATTCATGGTTAATTACTACTACTACTACTCTCTCAGTAGTCTCAGACCAATCGGAAAGAAAAGCACATCATTTATATTCGGTAAACAAGTGTACGTGTTCATATTGTATGCAAGCAAAAGTTAAGGCTTAACTTTTGGTGTTCATAATTAAACCATAAAAGCTAGTGGAAAAGCGGGTCGGATTAGATTGTGGAGCATCTTTGCTTGAATTTCAAGCACTTTAAATAAAAGGATTTATTCCTAACCACGAATATATTCTTTGGACGGTGGATTTGTGGGACCTCCCATCCCCATCCCCATCCCATATATATGTAGAAGAGCAATGTAGAATACTTTACCAGCCTTCCCCCTTTTATGTATGTATTGTGTTTTTTGCCCAAAGGAAACAAGATCGAGAGGTTCAATGTCTTTCTTGTCGGCATGGAAGTAAATGCTTATCAATGTGATTTATTATTTTTTGGAACTGAAGTTGGTTTTTGATCAATGATCGTTAATGTTTAGTCACTTTTATTTGGTTGAATTGTCCATCAATACTTAAATCTTTCGGCTTGTCTCAATTTTTTGGCAATTGCACCAAAAACTTGAGATTTTCTTAAATTTTCTTCTTACATTGACATTATATCATATTTTCAAATTTTTGTCACATTTGAATTCTTTACATATATATAATTGTAATTTTGATTGCTTCGGATATATAATTATAATTTTAATTGCTTCAGATCTTTTTAGAGGTATTTTGGGTACTGTTTCTTTTATTACAGTAAGAATAACGTTGCCAATATAAGCATATCAATGATTATTTGAATACACATCAATTCCCAAGTCCAGCTATTTTCCGGTACATTGAATGGGTCTAATGTTGAATCATTTCTTCTCTTTTTTTTTTTTTTTTTTTAATGTTCTTCAATGCAAAGGAGAAGGGAAATATATATATATACACATTTGTTTGTCCAAAAATAAACAAATCGACGGTTGTTTTTTTTCATCACAAATATCTTTTTCTTTTTTTGGTTTCATATCCCTATCCCACAAATAATGAATTGAATACGTATAGGTAAAGAATTAAAAAGGCAACCCAATACACAAGAGAGTCTAGAAAAGAGTTAATGCCCGAGAGTCTGAAAACATACATTTAAGTTTCGGATCCTGCTTCTTCGTGTTACTAAACAGATGTTTTGACAAGATCATAGAATTTGAGCTGCTTTTCCAAAACCTTGACAAATATATGTCCTCTCCCTCTCCCTCTCCCTCTCTCAGCTTAAGCTATAATCCAAAACAGAATGAAGATAATTTTTACAACACACAAGCATGCAACGAATATCTCTTAGACACGGTGCAAATTAAGCACTTATTTAGATGCATAGGCCTGGGGATCCATCACCAACTCAGTTTTTATATGGGGCTCTAGTGGCACTCACCGGCGGATCTACCTTCAAGACCTTGACAATTTTATAGCCACTACAACAAAAAAAAAAAAAAAAAACCAACACGGTTAAATTAAAACATGTTTAGTTGTTTCAAAACAAAAGTCAACAGAAAGCAGGGATTGATTTCCAACTTGAGTTGAAGCTTGCTAACAGTTAGAATGCAAACCTCAAACATCATCAACTTATATTCCCCAAGCACACATATTTAAGCTGCAATCAACAGATGACAACACCACCTCAATAACCAGAAATAAAATATCCCAAGTATACAAATCCTAAGATTTGGAATTTCTATATAGTGCAATTCCCTTTATGCAGATAAAGGGAAAGAAAATTGAATAAAACGATTGTTTATAATTGCCATTAATCGAAATGTTAGGGGGAAGGAGAATAACAAAATTTATATCTGGGTGCAGTAGCCAACAAGCATATTGTTACTTGTAATTTAGCAGAATAGACAAAGTACACCCCTTGAAAAGATAGAATGGTGAAAAAAATTCATTAAGTCAACCCAAAATAACTGGAACGAAGTACATGTTTGTAAGCCTCTATTTTGGGAAACTTATAGCTTTCAGCTTCAAAGTAACTATGCTGACATGCTTGCTGTAACTCATTCAAATTATATAAAGCTGAAGATAAGAGTAAATAAACCAGCAAAACTGCTTTTATGGAGTGGCTTTAAAAAATGTGCAGCAAACTTGGTCAAAGCTTTGTTAGGTTTGGTTTTGTTTGACTTTATTCACAAATCAAAAATTAAGGTTTGGAATTTCCAAAGTGTAACATGGAAAATAAATTCAATAAATGAAGCATAATTCAAACACGAATTTAACAGGGAAACAAGGCTATTCTGCATTTGGGGCTTTTTTTTAAACACTAAACATATTGAACATTAAAGTAGCTCTGACCTCAGTTGTGATGTTTGGGTTCTCGTGAATAACGTGCAAATTAACAAATTATACACCACTATAAGATTTTCTTCTCCTTGACAATGGGTGAAAAGAATATTTTAAAATACTTACTTCCAAATATTCATCCATCCCATACTTTGAACCTTCCCGACCAAGACCAGACTGTTTAAAGCCCCCAAATGGAGCCACCTACACCACAAACAATAGACCAATCTATAACACTTCTGTCAAAATCAGCAAATCTTGCATTTAGTGTCGGATGCAGTGTAAGACCCACCTCTGTTGAAATTAGTCCTTCATTGACTCCCACAATTCCATAATCAAGAGCTTCAGAGACACGCCAAGAACGTTGAACATTTGTTGTGAATATGTAAGCAGCCAACCCTGCACAAATGAATCCTCGTAGAGTGACAAATACCTTATCATTTTCTCTGAAAAACCCTACATCTATTTAAACAGACTTGAATGGTACAATCAGATAAAAAAAAAATTTGGATTAATGCGGATTAATATTTTAGTTATATTGCTAGCTTAAGCAGCCTGACATGCAGAAAACACTTTCCAATATAGGCAAATTAAGTTTTTATGGTCCCATCTCCACAAAAATATAGACCCTTGTACGGGACGCTAACCTGCATTGGTGTCATTAGCAATGTGAATAGCTTCTTCCTCAGTTTTAAACCGCAATAGGGGTGCAACAGGTCCAAATACTTCCTCCCTGAAGTGAAGAAGTATGAAGCCCATTTGTAAGAGGAATATGCACAAAGTAATCTAAAATAACTGCATATTCCGTAGATCTAAATGACGAGACCAAATAATTGCAAACACAGAAGCATCTACGTTGGCGTTTATAAATTGCAAGCAACTAGTCATTATTTCAACTAAACTATAACCCATAACTGTTAGAGCCTATTAGAATAATGTCAATATCCTCTGCAGAAGTGGGAAGAAAGATGGGAAAAATTGTAGCGATATCTGGAACACGCATTACAAAGCACAGAGCAGATCCACATTATAAGTTTATGACCCTATATCATTCTATCATTAGAAGAAAGAAGATTGCCGCTCATACCAACACATAAAATCTTGATTATGATCATGAAGTTAAAAACGATTGAACCACAGAACCTCAAAAAGGATCTGAGATGTGACGACCAATTATCTCAACTATAAGTTTTGTGATGCAAAAACATACATAAGCAATTTAGAGTGCCGTTCTACTTCTCAGATGAAAGCCTCCCCCCCCCCCAAAAAAAAAAAACAAAAACCCAAATTTCTTCTCAAAATTGGAAAAAATTAAGGGAGCTTCTGGTTCCTCCTATCACTGATATATACTTTCAGTTCCACGTTTCGGTTGCATACATGCTAATTAAAAAGAAAGCAAAGTCCAATTTCCTGGGGTATCAGTTGGCTCCTAAGATACAATGCAAATAAATAACTCTTGTGAGCACTTGTTCTTATAATATACCATCTCTTGGAAGCTTTTGCAAGCACTAAAAAATCTATTGAAATACACCTCGACATATCTTGCACAAATTCAACAAAAATAGAATCTCAATATAAAATGGATACGTTATCCCCTACTTGCTAAGTCAACTCACTTGATGGTGCAACAGGGACATACAATGATGGGAACATGGGCGAGAGAATATTGAACTCGTAGCCATAACAAGCACGAGATCCTAAAGAGTCTCTCACTATAACTTTCTACTCTTCCTTTTTTGATTACAACATTGCAAATTTCAGCACATGCATAAGAACCCCTTCACAATTATATCGGAAGTGAAAGATTTGACTATTTTAAGACAAATACAAATGTAAACAGTTGATAACAGTAAAAAATTGGACTTCCCAAAACACATGTGAACTACAATCAGTATGCTTCAAGAGTTTTACCTTGATATTAGCATCTCATTTTTGACATCAGTTAATACTGTAGGCTCATAAAAGGTCGTTCCAAGGCTATGCCTCTTGCCTCCAAGAAGGACTTTAGCTCCCTTCACATAATGCAATTAAAAATTGATGAGAGAGGAGTAACAATATGTATTACATCGATAATATCCCACCAATTTAAGTGGCATTTCCAAAGTTAAGGCACTAAATGAATTACAGAAGCAATCAACAAATTGGATGTATAATTCCATTCCAAGGCACTTAATGTATAATTCCATTCCAGAGCATGCCGACTCCAAAAAGGAATGAAAGAAAAAGGAAATAGACAACCTCATGTCGTAAACTTTGTTTCTTTATTTAGAAACATTGCTCCATTGTTTTGCCATATGTCATGGTCTTGGTCATTGAGGACAACATTCCACAAGCCTTTGTGTTAAACCATTAATTTTATGAAACTATGCATAATAATATTCTGTAGAAAGGGTAATCAACTCTCTACCACCACCCCCCATCACCAACATCCCTAACCTGTACACCACGTTGCAAATGTAAAAATGAAAAACAGAATGGATCAATTGAACTCTGAGTTTGCACTGGGGCCGGCCGTACACTATTAAAAAAAAAGCATGGATTTTAGGCACCAAATTTTTAAAAGGCACCATAATTTTAGATACATAACTAGTCTACATAAAAAATTTAAATCCATAAAAATTTTAGGCCTTACAAAAACGCCCAAAAAATTTAAGCCCAATCAAAAAAATTATAATTTCAATAATTTGGGCCTATAATTCAATTCATAACATTAGAAATTCAAAAATCAAAAATTTTAAAAACAATTACAAAAAAATTCAAAACTCAACTCATATTTACTCACATTTATTCTCTTTCTCTTAAAAAATAAAAACAAAGCATCACATCCTCCTCTCTCACTTAAAAAAAATTAAAAATATTTTCTGTTTTTTAAAAATAACACTAAAAATAAAAAAGCTTAATTTAATATTACTGCTTTAGGCCTCAAATTACTTTGAGCCGCCCCTGGTTTGCACATATTGAGAATAAGAAAGCATACTTTGGCACATAAATTATGCATGCATAATGAGTTTGATAAAGAAATCAAATTATTCGGACAATACCCTCAATAAAAAAGCAGAAACTTGAAAACCCTCAAAAGTCAATTCCTCTGAATCAACATTGAAACATCAACCAAAATGGGTAGTAAACAAACCTTTGAGATAGCATCTTGCACGAACGAGTCAACCTGGGAGACAATTCCAAAAGGAATCAAATGGTATAGAAACATATGCAAATGATTTGTAGCCTCACAACAACACTGCTTGCTGTAAACTGGAATAGTTAAAAGCACAACTGACCTTATGTACAGCAGCGTCATTAATTAGAGGGCCCTGCAAGAAAAACACAATTGACAGCAAACTATGAGTCCTATCAGGAAAGCAAAAATACAAACCTTTGCAAGGAAGTTTGAATGGAGTACCATCTCCTTATATTAATGGCCTACCAAAGAACAAACTATAGGATACACGAAACAAAAGGAAAGAGCAGACAGACTGCCAATCAAGAAGTGTAACAAAAAGTGCAGAACTAACTACCTGGGCCACCCCTTCACCAAACCCATCCCCAACTTTCAAATTTTGAACAGCGTGTGAAAATGCATTTGCAAATTTCTCATAAATACCTGCAAACAAACTCACAAGTTGGTCTACGAAAAAGAAAATAATTCAAAATAAGAGAAGTTTAGAAACCATAAAAGAAATTACAAAATGAATGAAGCAGCTAGAGAACAATTACTGAGAAGTATTTTTCCAAATTGACGAAAACTTCAATTACTAATATGTCCGTAACTTATCTATATGTTGCATGTGAACACTGTCATGCCCCACCCACATCCACAAGTGCATAACACCTTACAGAAGTGAACGACACAGTTCATAATAATACACTTACAACTAGGGGTGTGCAGAATAACTGTTTACCCAATTAATGGACCCTTACCCGACCGAACCGAGCGAATATGGGCAGTTAAAAATACATGCGGTTTGGGTTTTGGATAAAGTAAAGCCTTACCCAACTAATTTGGTTCAGATGACGGGTAGATAAAGGTCACAACACGACATATCCGAACCAAACCGAACCGAACCGAATAATAATATAAAAATATAAATATTATTTTACCCTTTAAAAAAATACAAAAACAAAAATATAAAACCCCCAAACCCTACTACGTCTTCTTCAGATCAACCCCACCCTGCCTCTCCTATCCATCAGCAATCCAACTCCTCTTCCCTCTCTCTCAAATGTAATAGCCATCTGATGAGCCAATAATCATAGGATCCGAAACTCAGTCCCAACCGCCTCTTCTCTTCTTCTTCTTTCGTATGTTCTTTGATCTTCACCCACTTTTACCATCGACCACAAGCTTCTACTGTCCATGGAGAAGATCTAAACCATATCATTTAGATCTGAACACTACAAATTAGACGACCACAAGCTTCTGCTGTCCAAGGCATAGATTTGAACCATATCGTTCAGATCAGAACCATATCGTTCAGATTTGAACTCTATCGTATGTACTCTCTTCTTTTGGATCTGATTTCTTTTTCTGATTTGTGCATGTGTTTAAATAGATGAATCTGAATCCTTTTTTAGATCTAATTATTAAATGTTTTAGGTTTTTGAATCTGATTTTTTTTTTTGATCTGATTTGGTCATGTGTTAATTTGTTGAATCCGAATTTTTTTCTGATTTTTTGTTCATATTTGATTCGTAATTTTCATATATGTTGAAGATCCTCGAATTCAAATCTCTCTCTCTTTTGTTTTTTTTTTTTTTTTTAAATCTAATTCAAAAGTGTGGGCTCATTCCACCCGATGACCAAACCGAAATCGACCAACTCTATGTGTCAGTTGTCGGCTCGGTTGGTTGTATGGTTTAGCTTGGTTCGGTTTATTATTCCCACTTCCGATTGCTTACGGATCCACCAGCGAAAGTTGACACTTCCGACCCTATTTGTCGGTTGAACACCCCTACTTATAACATGGAAGCTCTAATAAACTTTATACTAGTTCAACAATATTTCACGTCAGATACCTTTTAAATGATTCTCACTATTGAATTCAAAAAATTCGTAGTTAGATTTTCATGTAAAATTAAAAATACAAATTAACAATAACGATGTGAGTGAATAAGTGCTTTTGAACAAAAAAAACTCCACACATTTCAGAAGGTTGTAAGGCTGTGTCTATAATTTCCAAAGTTGAATATGACTATCCGTGCAAATATGTGGTATGCAAATAGATGTTCACAATGATATGATTTACTTGATTGCAGTAATCTTGCAGATTGTGATTAGAGAACTCATTCAATACCCTTTTGGTCCATGTGTTGCGAGATATATTGGTCTTTTTGATAACCTTCCACAGATAACCATTTTGCAGAACTTTCAGTTTGTGATTGGAGCCTACCATTTGCCTATCCATGCAAGTATGTGGTATCCATGCAAATACATTTCGACAATGATATAATTTACGTGATAGCATTAATCTTGCAGATTTCGATTAGAGATCTCATTCAATTCCCTTTTGGTCCATGTTTGCGAGGTATACTTGTCTTAAACCTTCCACGGATTACCATTTTGCAGAACTTCCACTTTGTGATTGAATCCTATCATATGCCTTAAAATGAAGATGCAATTGGGAATCTCAATCAATTTCTTGAGTTAAAATCTATGTTAAATTTGCAATTGAAAAGGTGAATGTCCAAGCTTAAGGTGGGCCAAATACCTTGCTTCATTTACACATCATTTCTACTTTATGAGAAACTCCAAGTGGTGGACTAGGGATTCCTTTCGTGTTTCCCTTTCTTTCCTTGGGATTACCCTGCCACCCTGTTTCTTATTTTATTTTTATTCTTGATGGATGTGTCATCCTTTGTACAACTGATCTCTTCTCATAGTGATACACATTTTTGTTCCTCATCAGTAACACCCAAAATAAAAGATCCCCTATAAGATGAGTTGCATCTCTATGTAAAGCAAAGCATTATAAAAGTATACTCATCATTTCTACCTTCTTGCACAATTACTCTATTTGCACAAACACATGTCTGTCCACTGTTACGGAACTTCGTTGCCAGCTGCAACAAAATTGCATTTACACCATGATCAGTTAAGAAGGCAAAGTAAAAGCATTACCAAACATAATTTCACCCAAAGAACGCAGGGAGAAAAAGGAAAAAGTAGATTAAATAAAAGCCAATATCAAACAGAATACTGATGCCTATATCTGATACGGACTAGTGCACAATTACTATGGCAAGTTCTGCTTTGAGACCACAAAGAAATAGGAAGCCATGGGATGCAATGTTAAGAGAGAAATAACAGTGGTTTAGAATACACTAGATTAAATTTCATCATGGTGAACTCAACACAAAATAATGTCCAAATGCTTAAAAATGATTCCCATACCCAAGAGGTTGCCGGAGAGAGAGAAGGGAGGAAGAAACCCACAAACTTGCCAGTGGAGAAATTGAAAATTCTTTCTTGATGATGCATAGAAAGCAAATAATTCCTTTTCAAATAGAGTTAGTATGCATAAGAATTTCTACAGATGGGGAAAGGATAAGTAACTGCAAATAGATATTTACTTTACTAACTTGTATCGAAGTAAAAAGTACAAAGTTGAACAAACAGCAGTATCTCCAAACATGTTGTGCAAACACAAGGTAGATCTTCACAAACTATTCACAAGAAAGACAAGGGCCTTTAAAAATATGACAGGGACACATTAGGTACAGGTTGAATAACATTCATAATTCATACACGTGAATACGTATCATGTATAGATGAGAAAATAATGAAAGAGTAACATCGGCCACATGATTCCTTTTTTGCCAGTATGCTTTGTCAACGGGAATATGTCCTGTTAAATTGCTAGCAACATTGCCTTCTTCACTATCTCCCCGAGTCAAATGTTATCTTCCCTGTCCCTTAGCATTTCCATTTTCCACTAATGATGATCACGTCACTCTTCCTCACAGGAGCACCAATAGGACTTGGTTGTACATGATGAAGCCATCCCAATCGATTTTCCCTCTGTTTATCGTCATTGATGCTACTCTTATCGACTTATAAACGCATTCATTTCTACATTATATTTTGTGGTAATAACCCCCCCTTCTCTTAACATCCTCATTTAACTACAATCATTTTATGAGCTGTGATCTTTCAGTTGTCTGGAATTCTATTTAGTATAGCTGGCTTTAAATTTCCCTTTCTTTTCACAACATGAGAGAAGCACTTCATTTGAGCCAACCTACTTAATTATACGAGATCATCAAATTTATTCTCTCTCGATTTATAATCAAGACTACATAAAGAAATTCTTTGCTCTTTGTCTTGGATCTTTCTTGACTTTTGATCTCCGTTGCCTCACCATCATTATTTCTGCTTTTGCTAAAATCACATTGCATGTATTTGGTTTTGGTCCTACTTAAGTAAATGTCTGTCAATTGATCCCTATTCACTCGGTCAAAGACTCCATGGCCCCCCCTTAATTGCAGTGCTAGTTACCAAATGTCCAATCCAATTCTAAAATTCTCTTTTTGTTCCATCAATTGAAATGATAGCATACACCACAGAATCTCAACTGGAAGTGTTTTATCAATTCACCCATTCCTGAGACAAATGGATAGGGCTCAAGGTTGATCCATGGTGTAATGATAAGGTAATTGGGAGTCCACTTGTGTCACCTACAACTGATCTAATTAAGAGCCCTCTACCTTCTTTTGTCTAATGAGCACCTATAACGATTTTATTTCAGATACGAAGTCATATGAAGGGCAAGCAGTCCTTCAGTAAAAAGAAGAAAATAGAGAAAAGCAAAAATAAAATATATGCTTTGCACATATATTTCCAATCTACCTTGACCAAAAACAAATGAAGTCTCCGATAATAAAAAACAAAGGAATTCCCACAAAATCAGGAGTAATTGAAACCAAAAAGGAGGCCACAAAGGGAACTATTTCCCACAAATCGATCTCTTTCTCAAAGTTATCTTAAAAAATTCTTGCATGTATTTCCAACAATACACCCCAAAAGATTCCCAATGCCACAAATCTCCAAAAGAAATGAGCTTTCTTTCTCTTTCCCAGACCTCAAAAATCAGTGATTATTACTTCAATTGAAAACCACACAAACAATCACCATATGAAGACTACTGACTTACAGTTCCTTTTAATGCCACTTCCAGGTCTGCATCATCAAAGATTATGCAAGGTGCATTTCCACCAAGTTCCAGTGATACCTTGAAATATCAACATTAAAAGGAAGTCAGCAGAACAACAAAGGCTCACCTATTCATCCATGTTGCAGTAATTCAATTTCCTGCGGATACCTTCTTAACAGTTCCAGCAGCACCTGCCATTAATTTCTTTCCAACAGCTGTTGAGCCTGTGAATGTTATCTTCCTTACCTATATAAGTTTTAAAAGATATGACCGTATGAGCCACCTCAGTTTAGTCTGTACATCAGTTAATCCATACAAAAAACTTGCACCATAATGCCTACAAAGTAGGGTACTGATACTTTAAAGGTAAACACCTGTGGACTCGCGAGTAAAGCATCCCCAATCTCAGAAGCATTTCCCATAACCACATTCACAGCACCCTGAATAATTAAAAAGATGAGCAGTAGACCTGATAAATATAGAAGTGGAAAAAGCAGCAGAACTAATTTGGATGCTGTAAAAAAACACAAACAAAAACCAACTGGAAAAATAGCATTCATCCAGAAGTAAATGATAACATTGGGAAGTAGGTCTACCATACTTTTAAGTGTTTAGATAACTTCAAGGTCTTTCCAAGCTTGGAGGCTTGGCAAAAGATTTTTCAATATTAGAATTCACAAACTGCATATAAAGACCTAGCATAGGAGGACAAGAATGATGACTTCTGAACGACCTATATTGTTTCCTTGTTACTAATTCTGCCACCGTCGAAACTCTATAAGCTGCGCAACTTAACCCCACCCTCTTCTTGTTGTTTCTTACTTCTTCCCCTACTGCCTTATACAACAAATTTCTGGAAACAAATTACCACAAACATATGCTTTGAGGTTACTCAAACTGCCACGCATGCATGGTGGATCAATGTTACCTAGATTATGGGTTGCTTTGATATGTGGCACGGGTACGGGTACGGGTACATGGTACGACACTTTCTTAGGTACGCGGTACGATGGGGATAGATTTTGCTGCTACGATGTTTTGGGTCGCAATTCGTTTTGGAACTCTTATGGAGATCGTTTTTATTACTACACAACATTATATATTACTGAACATTCATAAACACTAAGTTAGTTATTATTTATCTTATAATTGTACTAGATTTTCTATTATCGAAAACAATATACAATTATAAATTTATATACATTTAGTCAATTAATATTTATTTTATATTTGTGCTACATATTCTTAAGCAAATTAATTTAGAGTTAGCACTATAATTTGGGATCGTTCATTTTGGTGATTTGGATCGCAAACCCACCTCGTTTGGGATCGATGTACCAAGATCGTGAGTCGTTAAAGGTTTAGTAAATTGTGGTAATCATGCAGTGGATGACTCCACTTTGGGATGCATGCACATAGTTCGACATTTAACCAGCTCTGCTGGGACAAGAAAACTATCCCCTTTACTAGCTTACACATTAGTATGAGATAACCCTAACTTATATTGAATCAGCCCCACTGGGAAATGTGCTCAAAATCACGAAGGCAGATACCTGGTCTCAGATGAAGATGGATATTGTCTACCTGTGTTATCATGCCGATTGTATCCCTTGAAGCTCACTGTCAAAGTTATTAAATTAGGTTAAGGGCAAACTAAATCCAAACAATGGCAAAGAGGCCTTAGGAAGACGATGATCTCGATTACTCAGTCCGTGCAAAATCCATGTTAATACCAGTCAAGCTACGATACGAGCTTCTAAAAATACCAAATTTCAAAAGCATGGCAATGATGAAAAATAATTAAAAATACTCAGAATAATGCCGTATGCCTCACCTATTAGTAAAATATGAGGTAAATGGTCCAACTTCCAACACATAATGAACCCCTGTTAAATATTATATTCCCTGATGCAAATACTTGTATGCAAATATGTGATTATGCGTACATAGTACTTATTCATAAGAATTACCGGTGGTATTCCAGCTTGAATGGATAGCTCAGCTGCCGCTAAAGCAGTCAATGGTGTAAGTTCAGAGGGCTTTATAACCACTGTACATCCACAAGCCAGGGCAGGGCCAACCTGGTAGAACAGTGAAACCAGAAAGGTTGCTTTCAAAGATGATAGTCACCCATCAAATAGATTTTCAACACTCAAAAAGTAATACAAATCATGCAGTGCTAGATAGTAATTAACTGTAAAAGCTTGACCAGCAAACCTTTCGAGTTATCATAGCCAAGGGGAAATTCCAAGGTGTAATCACACCAACAACACCTACAGGCTGGAAAGAGAACCATATCAATTGGTTAAGAAAGAAGAAAAAATTTGCCAAGATTGAACAGTTGTTAAACTGAAGTGGCTTATCAAGAACTCCTTGTGAAGAACCCAAGGTTGTTTACATATTTAGGGGACCACTCCACCCATTGCCAAATTAGTGTTGGGTTGGATGCTCTAACTTGGTATCAAGCTAGACTTAGATTGCTGGTAAACCAAATCCCTCACCCAGTTAAGTTATGGTCTGTTTATCTGTCTATTTTGGTTCAACTTTAGCCTATTTGTCTCTTAGTTTCAGTTCGGTTTGTTAATTTACATGGTAGTCTGGGTTGCAATGTGAGGGTGTGAAAAAAACTATCACACATCAATAAAACAAGTAGCTGACGGTTTGTTTATGTACTTGAGGGGCTACCCCACCCATAGTCAATTTGGTTTTGGTTGGATGTCTAACACTGTACATCGATAGCTATCATTTAGCATTGAAACTTTAAATTTGTTTTCAACAAAAAATGATTTGCAGAAACGCAAATAGCCACTACTAAAAAAGCCTCACATTACATACACTTATGGAGATGTTTGACATAAGCTATTTGTTGGTACCTATGGATGCATATATAGGTTATTCGGCCATGAAATCCATCACCTGTGGATGTTAGCACCTTAGATGTTCTCTGTCTCTCTCTCTCTCTCTATTCCCTACTTACTCCTTTATCATGACTGCACATGTAGTCTTGAGTCAAAAAGAATTTTTTTTTTTACTTTTATTCGTTTGGCAAAGCATAGAATAGAGCAAATGTCTTCGGTTTTGCCTTTTCTTAACATCATCCACAGTGCGTCCATGTTATAAGCATTAAGCAACATCACCATTCAATTTATACAGGTTGTTTCCTTGTAATTTAAGTCAGCCATCAAAACTATGGTTTTAAGGTTCTTGTGGAGGTGCACCTCAGAAAATTTGAGACATGCTCTTTAATAAAAATTGACACCTGCAACGAACTAGAAAATGTAGAAATAGAATTTACAAAATAGCAAAGGTCACAAACTCACCTGCTTTAAAACAAACAGCCGGCGATCAGCTAGTGGTGATGGAATGATATCACCATATATACGTTTAGCCTCTTCAGCAAAAAACTCGATAAAACTGGCTCCATAACTAACCTGTTGATTGTGCATATGGATTGGTATCACACATCACAAATGTTCCATGAAAGATGCATTGGCAAAGCTTTATGCTTAGATGTGCCAAAAAGTATGAATCTGATACCTCACCGATGGCTTCTTTTAGAGGTTTTCCTTGCTCTAATGTTATAAGTTGTCCAAGCTCTTCCTTGTGGGAGATTATTAAGTCATACCTTGAATTACATTTGGAGATGAATATCATGAAGATCTATCCATGTAATAACTTCTATTATAAGACAGACCATAATATAATTAGGAGTTGAACGGGTTTAACTCACATAGTATCGGCAGAACACAATATAAGTAGGGGATAAATGCGTATGAATATCTGCTCTTTTTGTATAGAACTTTGTCACCACCTTTTTTCTTACGGAGTACAATTCTCCAGGAAATCATGTATTTTGAATGGCAAAGATAATTGCCAAAACTTATTTGGGGATCTAGCTTTCTAAACCATGATGGCATGTAAAATACAGTTATGTTGTCAAGTGTTTCATAAAATAGAGATGATCCATTATTCAAAAAAATCCTAGAATACAGGAGGTTTAAATGGTCATAGAACATTGTTTCTGTGTACCATTTTCGCAGGCATTTGCTCCTTTCAGCCGCAGTAAGCTTGCTCCAAGCTACAACAATACAGATTATTAATATATTATACCAGTAATATGACCATTCAAAATTAAGTAAATCTACAGTCTTTCATAGACTGGTAAGATATAGCCTCCTGTCATGTTTAATATGTGGGCAGCTGTATGCATATTTTCATGTAAACATGTAAAATTGAGGCACCTAGTTTCGGAAGTATCATCAGAACTAAAGAGAATATATACAAAGAAAAGAAAAATAAATAAATAAACATGCTTATAATGCCATATTGCCTTCCTTTTCATGTTAAAACATACAAAACATTTAGAGAATACCACTCAAGTACTAAACAGAGTGAACTCCAACTTTTTGCCCCTGCTTTTTCCTCAGAATATCATGCATCTTACACCAATTCCCATAATTCACAAGGTCACAGACAACAACAAATTTAAATCCAGAAGACTTTGACACTCAATTGAAGAAAACAATGAGAATGGATCTTGTTTGTCATTCAGGTTACTTTTCTATAAATACTTGCATTCTTTTGTATCTTTTCATATGGTTTCACCTTAAGGTGTCACAGCTTAGTATCAAAGGTACCCCAACCTTTTCTGGGCCCTAACACACACACAGATATATAAATATATATGATATGTGATACATATATATCTATATATATATATAAAGAGGAGAAGTACTGTGATGTAGAAAGAAAAAGACCAACTTGAGATTGGATTTGAAACATGGATACATATTGTTTTCCAAGCCCATCATTATGGGGTCCAAATGGACTACCATTACAGCAAGAACCAAATCCATCCTATAGTTAACCAAGTTTAAAATTCCCAAACATGAATATACAATCTACAAAGATATACCACATTATCGAATAATGGCGAATCATTGACATCCCGTGTGCCCCCTTAAATTCCACAAGAGAATTCCATGACTCTCAAGAAAGAGGTGCGCCTTTTTTAGATCCATTTGAAACCCCATGAATGATAATTGCAATCTTCTGGTGATAATCATAAAGGCATCACATTTTAGGGGAAAGGCATAGTGGCACATGCTCCGGATACAAATTTGGCATATCAAAACAAATGTCTTTATTTAACTTTATACCAAATCTTCAACTGCAATCACTTGTATTTTATGTTTGACGTGTGATTAGTCCACTACAATAACAACATTGTTTGTTCTTTCAAATAAAGGTCACAAGGCATCAAAGAATATTTCGGCGTAGCATTAAGGAATGTTTCTTCATGTAAGGCAATAGTTTAACAGGTTGGTTCAACAAAGTATCCCAAGTGCAGTAAATTTTACTTCTACATGAGCATCATGTAGATCAATCTTAAGATACTTACTTCTAAATGCATTGTATGCTGAACCAATTGCATCATTTGTCTCCCTCCCACCCATGCATGGGATATTTGCAACAACATCACCAGTAGCGGGGTTGTGCACCTACCGTGAAGGGAAACACAAGGCATGTCAAAAGTGACATAAGAAAGACCTAATGAGCATTAGAGAGACAGAGAGTTTCAGTCAGACCGTCATAGTCTTCCCATCATATGCCTCAATCCATTTCCCTCCAATAAGGCCCAGAGTGCGTAAGAACCCAGAGCTATTCAGCCGAGCAGCAACACTTTGTGCCTCCATACTTATCTGACCATCCAAAACACTTTGTTAGGTTTTCAATGTCACACTTGCAGTTAGCTGATGATACCATTTTCTTGACTTTGGGCGATGAAAAAAAATGAATCTAAAGATGATTGCTGATGTGTTTGGGTGGATATCAGATCTTAGAGTTAACATGGGAAAAAGTTCATTTTTTGTTGGGATTAATTCTAACCAAGATAAATTATCTAGATTGACATTGGCTCTGGAAGCTATGTCAGTGGATGGCCTCTTGAGTATTTAGGCCTTCCTTTAGGCAATAATCATTTGTTCGTCGTCTTTTTCGGACCCAGTCATTCAGAAGGTTGAGAACAAGGTTGTATGGTTGGAAGAGGGCTTTCATTTCTGGGGGGATAACTAATTTCAGTTGAGGCAGTGTTGGCTAGCATTCCCTTTCGTTTTTTTTTTTTTTGTCTCTCTTTGAGATGCGCTGTGTGCTGGCTAAGAGGGTTAAAGGGATGATCTCTTAGCTAGTTGGCAGGTGGTGTCTAGGTAAAAAGCTAATGGTGGCCTCGGAAAGTTGTTGGCTATAAATATTGGCCATGGTTTTGCAAATGGTAGATAAATTCAAGACATATCTGAATTTATGACAGGGTCTGCTTCTCAAATTGTCAGTTGACCAGTAAAATTTAAATTCTTACATGATCAGTAAAGTCCAGTCCCACATAAAATCGCAATCAATCTCCATGCGGCAGAAGACCACTACTCGGAATATGAAGCCTAAAAACTCAGATCAAGATCGGCTATAATGCAATTTTGCTCGTTTGATAACAATAAAAAGATCAATGGTATAGAACAAATTCATGACTGGCCTGGCGCGATGTATACAGAAAGAAACAGAGGGAGCGATGAGAGAGTGGAAGAGAGAGAAGTGTAGATAAATAGATTGTGAGCGCCTGTTGGTATTGGCTACTGCGCATGCGCTTCTGTAAGTTTGGTTCGGAATGAGAGGAAAAAAAAAAAAGAGAGATGTAGAGAGAGAGGTGATACCTGGCGAGAAAGGACAGTATTGCGGTGGTGCATATTAGCAACGTATGAAGGGCGAGAGAGAAAGTTGCAGATGGAGCCAAGGGCCATGCTCATGCATCTCGACCTCATTCCCAGATTTATCGCAACTGATACACTCCTCCTTCCCCTTCCCTCCGTAAATGACCCGCCCGGGAATGGATTACATTGACACTGTCCAGCTCTCTCCCATTACGAGTGCTGTTTGGTTGTACTTACAAATCTAGAGTAAATTATGTATTTGTCCTTTTGTGATAATTAAGTTTTTTAAATATTTTCTTTCAAGTCTTTAAACTATCTAATTATTTCAATCAAACTCTTCTCCTCTGCTAGGGTTTCTAATAGAAGAGTGTGCAGTGTGCTGGTTACATCCTTTGTTCAGGGGTGTTTTAGGCAACTCTATTAAAGACATGAAAAAATTATGTATTTGACCCTTAAATTATAACTTTTATATCAATTAAGTCACTTAACATTGTAGATAATTGATTTTTTGTCTGAGAATCTGGAAGACAACTCTTAAATTAAAAATCTAACCCACCACATGAAGCTTCTGTGAGTCTCTATTGTTCATAGAATCAACAACTCATCAATGGAGAGGTTAATACATGATACATATGATGTCCTGCATTCAAATTAGATATACTGTAAGTGCTCTATTTTATTTAGGTTTTGCATTTTTTGTGTACACCATTGATGAGTTGTTGTCGATCGAAATTATATGAACAATGGAGACTCACAAAAAATTCATGTGGTGGTTAGGTTTTTGGTCTAAGAATTGCTCTTCGAGATTCACAGACGAAATACTAACCAGCTATAATGTTTAGAGACTCAATTGATACAAGGGTTATAGTTTGAGGGTCAAATAGATAATTTACTAATGTTTTTAATGGGAGTTGCCTAAAACGCCCCTGAAGAAGACATGTGACCTGCACACTCGACACCCTTCCGTTACGGTCACACTCTTTCGTTAAAAATCCTAACATAAGGGTTTGATTGAAACAATTAAATAGTTTAAGGGTTTAATTGATTCAAAAACTTAATTGATACAAAAATTATAATTTGAAGGCCAAATACATAATTTAAGAAAGTCCCTTTTGTCGTCCAGCACGAAGTAGGTATTCGGTGATATGCATAATTGATGATGATAGGGACATGCGATGTGGGCTATGGTGCCAGGATGGGGATGGCAATGGAGCTGTGTGTTATTTTAGTTAGTGGATAGAGATTGAGTCAATTTTGCTGAATGGATTTTGACTCTTAGGGTTTTATAAATTTTTTTTAAGTTTTGTTGTCTACTGTTTTTTGTTATATGGATATGAATTGATTCAAACTTTTTGAATGAATCGGTTTTTATTTGTGAATTTGTGGTGGTTGTCACGTTTTGCGCAGGAAGAATAGATGTTGGTTCAAATTACTCAGTAACTAATCAAATTTGTGCTCAAAATAAAGGTTACTTTAAGTTGTTATAGGGATGAGATATAAATTAAAGACGTTTTAATAACTTTTTGATATCAGGTTATGATAGATATATTTTCTATGAATATCTTAGTGGTAGCGTACGTGGATGACTTTTTTTTGACGGAATCAAAAAATAGATTAATTAAAGTATTTATAAGTTGGTCAGACATTTTTGTCTGTTTAACAAAAAAAAAAAAAATTAAACAAATTTGTGGTCAAGAGCTTAATCCCATGGTCAAAGAGGAGTTATCTTAATTTATGGGCAAGTGGAACAGATCATGTTCTAGAATTCGTTTATTTCAACGCAATCAATGTTGTCTCGAACGCTTTGTTTTGTACGTTAGCCAGTGGGCGAATAAGAATTCATTGCACATGGTCACAACGCAGGGGGTGTCAGTATAATTTCAAAAAATAAGAATGGATGCAGTGAAATTATCAGAAACTGCACAGTGATGGTTACGGGAAGGAAAGTCATTGAAGAAAATTGAACCATGATTCTCTTAACTCACCACTAATCTAATAATTTTTAAAAATTATATCTCTAAATTACATGTATATTTAGGCTTGAGTTAGTACTTACCAAAAGATAAGTAAAAAGCAAATTAATTGAATTTGTGAATTGAAAATTTAAATTCACAAATTTTGTAAAATAATATACGTGAATTTACTCACGGAGCAAGAATTCGCTCATAGAACGCCCAAATCACAAGAGAAATGAGAATTTATAAATATTATGTGACTAAGATCTCCACACATGACATCGTCCATATTTTTACCAATTTTTGGTCGTGTGTTTTTCACGTGTTTCCAAATAAAAAACATATTAGATAAATCACTATATACTTAAACAAAAAATTATAGCAGTGGTCCCAAAGTATGCACTTCGTTTTATTTTGGTCCCAAGGTAATTGAAATGGTTTCGATCTTGTCATTAATTTCTTATAAATTCCAAACAAGTAGATTTAGTTCACCTCGGATAAGAGAAATACAAAGTATATAGAGATACACATAATAAAACATAAGAAAAATTTCATCTTCACCCCCTTTAAATAGTTTTATCTTCAACGGCACCCCCTCCCTTTTATCAAATTTCACTGACCTTCTGTGTCAATGTTGGTCGACTAACAGACGTGACAGAAACACACGTTTTACCATTTTATCCATAAATTTTATAAAATTTTACATATTCACCAATTTTTTTTCATTAAACTATATATAAATACATATTCTTATTTCCTGTAAGTATAGGCATGTTTGTTTGTCAGATATATGAGTTATTAAGAAGTAGAAATAGAGTAAATAGTACTTAGGACCCACTTATTACCTTGTTTGGTTAGTATTTTATGTTCGGTACTATTTTTTGGGTTACAATATTGAACCAATTTGTATAGTAACTTTTATCCCTCGTACATAACTTAAAGCTAGTATAAATCCACTAATGATACAAGCAACGAAAATGACACAAATACCCTCCTATGTAGAGTTCACATATAAAAAATTTATTTTAAATTTTTTCCTTATATTATGTTTAAGTATACGGTGTCACCAGTTTTTTAAAAAAAAATTTAAAAAATTATTTTGAATTTTTTCCTTTTATTATGTTTAAGCGCACGAAATCACCAATTTTTTTAAAAAAAAAATTTCTAAATTTTTCTTCCTGTACTATATTTAAGTGTACGGTGTCACCGGTTTGTTTTTAATTTTTTTTAAAAAAAAATTATTTTGAATATTTTTCTTTTATTACATTTAAGCATACAATGTCATCAATTTTTTTTTAAAAAAAATTCTAAAAAAATTATTTTGAATTTTTTCTTCTATTATATTTAAATGTATGGTGTCACCGAATTTTTTTTTAATTTTTTTCTTGTATTATGTTTAAGTGCACAATGTCACTGATTCGTAGTACTAGATTTTTTTTTATGTGGATTTTTTACATTATTCTTCACCGATTCATGCTAGAACTAGTAGTTTGGATTCATTGCCACGTTGTTTTTGCAGTTAGGTGATTGGGTTGTTAAAGCATGTGAGAGAGAGAGAGGGTGAAACAAGGGTTTCACGGGGAAATAAGAAGGGTGAAATTGACATTTAATAAAAATTTTGGTACGACATATGCACTTTTCTAATGGTTAATTATGGATGGTTACGGTAAGGAGACTAGGTGAAGAGAACATTTAAAGTAGAAGGAAGTGCAGTGAAGTTTCCAAAAAGACAGGGGGTGTCGTTAAAGATAGACCTATTTCGAGGGGGTGTAAATAAAATTTTCCCTAAAAACATACATTAATTCACATAAAAACATAATGTTTCACATAAGAAATATATACCATAACATACGAAAAGAAAAATACACTGACATTATATAACAATACATCACATAGTAAAATTCATAGGGTGTACATATGAAAACATACACACAAAACATCAGTAACAAAATAAAAATATATAACAAGCATTGATACACATTGTAAAACACAAACAAATTATACATATAAAAATACACACAAAATCGATAAATCATATACACACCAAACTCACAAGTAGGGTAACCACGTAAGTGCAAGTACTCATTAACTCTACCAATTGCAGACCATAAACAAATTAGGAAAGAAATAAACAAGCTTAGAGTTTTGACTAATGAAAGACTAGAAGGAGGAGTAGAAAGAGGAGGAGGAGGAATAAGAAAAATAAGAAAGATGAGGGACGAGAAGGAAAAGGAGAAGGAGAAGGAGAAGAAGAAGAAAGATGAGGGATAAGAAGGAGAAGAAGAAGGCAAAGACAAAGAGAATGAGGAGGAGGAAGAAAATCGGGAGGAGAGAAGAAGATGAAAGGAGAAAAGAGAAAGAGAATGATGATGATGAGGAAGAGGAGAAGGAAAAAAGGAAGGAGGAGGGGAGAAGAATGAAAGAGATGAGGAGCATAAGAAGGAGGAGAATGAGAAGGATAATGAGGAGGAAAATCAGGGGAAAAAAGATAATAAGTAAAAAAGAGGAGGAAGAGATACAGAAGAAGAAGGAACAGGAGAAAAGAAAATAATGAAAATCAGGAGGAAAGAGGGAGGAGAAAGAGAAGAAGGAGAATGCTTGCTTTCTTAAGTGGGTTAAATTAACAAAGAATTTTCAAGCATATGAAAGATTATCGTATTTGTAATTCAGTCAATTATCGAGGTCGTCTCCTCAAGAAAGACAGTTGGCTCAAGTGATTTTAAGCAAAAAAAACTAAAAACTCTGGATTTTGAAAGATGTTATTGTAGACTTTGTCAATTAAAGAATAACAATTAAAAGAAAGACTGGTTAATCGGTAGAGTTAATCTCACCATGCACATGTATTTTGATTCAATTTCTATAAGTCATTTGAGATTGTACTCAGATGCACTTAAACGAAAAATATTCATTGAACACCCAATTAAAAATAGCAAATATGTATTCAAGTCAATTGATTTGATTTTGAAATAATTAAACCCACTTTAATTGCAGTGATTCTAAGAATTACCCGTGCCAGACTTAACTATTTGCGGATAAGTAAGAAGATATACATACTGAAAGTGTTTTCAACTATAATCATTCAAATATGACTACTCACTCGATCGAATTGAAGTATGACTACTCACTTATTATCGAATTGAACATGAAAGTAATTAAATAAAGAATGACTGTAATTGAAAACAAGGAAAACTTGAATTGAAATTACAAGTAAATGAAAATACCTTGAATTGAATTGCAAGAATGTAAATCGTTCATAAGAAGAAATTGAATGTAATTGCGTTGCAATAATTTAAGGCCTGAAATTAACAAAGCTTGTAACTTGAACAATGGAGAAGAACTTTTGAAAGAAAAAACCCTAATTCTAAACCTAGGA